CGCTCCTCACCAGCGGTGATGGTCACGTGACACTCCCCTCCTCACCAGCGGTGATGGTCACGTGACAATCCCCTCCTCACCAGCGGTGATGGTCACGTGACACTCCCCTCCTCACCAGCGGTGATGGTCACGTGACACTCCCCTCCTCACCAGCGGTGATGGTCACGTGACACTCCACTCCTCACCAGCGGTGATGGTCACGTGACAATCCCCTCCTCACCAGCGGTGATGGTCACGTGACACTCCCCTCATCACCAGCGGTGATGGTCACGTGACATTCCCCTCCTCACCAGCGGTGATGGTCACGTGACACTCCACTCCTCACCAGCGGTGATGGTCACGTGACAATCCCCTCCTCACCAGTGGTGATGGTCACGTGACACTCCCCTCATCACCAGCGGTGATGGTCACGTGACATTCCCCTCCTCACCAGCGGTGATGGTCACGTGACACTCCCCTCCTCACCAGCGGTGATGGTCACGTGACACTCGAGTTGGCGCTCCATTTGACTCCAATTGGTGTCCAAGTGAAACGCGACCCGGCAGGCGTCCGGTGACGAGGACATTTCAACAAATAAAATGAGGCAACGTCACGGAGTTTCTCGCTCCGTCGTGAAAAGACGCCACGGTGTCATCACGTTGCGTTTATTTGTTAAATATTTCATTTGCCAGTGGAACGATACGACACGGAGAGGATGACGTCATGACGCCATGTGGGACAACAAACGTCCCGGAGTGAGCCTCCTCCCCAGTTGGCAACACAAATCCCGTGGGGGACTCAGCCCCCCCCCCCCCCCCCCCGAGTTGTTTCTCTGTGGAACCCAAACCGAGTGGGACTCTCAACAAGCCCCGCCCCTCGTCCCCCTTCGCCCCCCCCTCTCACCCGCTCTGATATCGGCGGAATTGTGTCGGGAGTTCTTCGCTCAATGTTAGCCACCTCAAGATGTTGACTACCTCGCCTGGTGTACAGGAGATGTTGACTACCTCGCCTGGTACACAGGAGATGTTGACTACCTCGCCTGGTGTACAGGAGATGTTGACTACCTCGCCTGGTCTACACAGGAGATGTTGACTACCTCGCCTGGTCTACACAGGAGATGTTGACTACCTCGCCTGGTCTACACAGGAGATGTTGACTACCTCGCCTGGTGTGCAGGAGATGTTGACTACCTCGCCTGGTACACAAATGATATTAACTACCTCGCCTGGTACACAGGAGATGTTGACTACTTCGCCTGGTGTACAGGAGATGTTGACTACCTCGCCTGGTACACAGGAGATGTTGACTACCTCGCCTGGTACAGAGGAGATGTTGACTACCTCGCCTGGTATATAGATGTTAACTACCTCGCCTGGTACACAGGAGATGTTGACTACCTCGCTTGGTCTACAGGAGATGTTTACTACCTCGCCTGATGTACAGGAGATGTTGACTACCTCGCCTGGTACACAGGAGATGTTGACTACCTCGCTTGGTCTACAGGAGATGTTTACTACCTCGCCTGATGTACAGGAGATGTTGACTACCTCGCCTGGTACACAGGAGATGTTGACTACCTCGCTTGGTCTACAGGAGATGTTTACTACCTCGCCTGATGTACAGGAGATGTTGACTACCTCGCCTGGTACACAGGAGATGTTGACTACCTGGTTTGGTCTACAGGAGATGTTTACTACCTCGCCTGATGTACAGGAGATGTTGACTACCTCGTCTGGTACACAGGAGATGTTGACTACCTCGCTTGGTCTACAGGACATGTTTACTACCTCGCCTGATGTACAGGAGATGTTGCCTACCTCGCCAGAATTCGCTGCCCGACTCGAGACACTTGGTGATGGTAGGGGTGGGTGATGGTGCGGGTGAGTGGTGGTGGGGGTGAGTGATGGTGGGGGTGGGTGATGGTGAGGGTGAGTGATGGTGAGTGATGGTGGGGGTGGGTGATGGTGGGTGATGGTGAGTGATGGTGAGTGATGGTGGGGGTGAGTGATGGTGAGTGATGGTGGGGGTGGGTGATGGTGGGTGATGTTGAGTGATGGTGAGTGATGGTGGGGGTGAGTGATGGTGATGGTGAGTGATGGTGGGTGATGGTGGGGGTGAGTGATGGTGGGGGTGGTGGTGATGGTGAGTGATGGTGGGGGTGAGTGATGGTGAGTGATGGTGAGTGATGGTGGGGGTGGGTGATGGTAGGTGATGGTGAGTGATGGTGGGGGTGAGTGATGTTACTCTCCAGGGCTTCCTTGCTCACTGAATGTTTTCCGAGTTGCTGCTGACACCCCAGTAGAGGTGCCACGTGATTACTCGTCACATCCATAGCCATCAACGAAAGATATACAGGATGCGGTGTGCCGGGCAACAGAAATATTGTCCAGGCCACCAGCCTGGGCAGAATTGGCTGAAATGAAACCCAAGACTCAGTGGCGTAGCTAGGATATTTTGCGCCCGGGGACGAACTATAAAATTGGCGCCCCCCCCCCCCCCCCGTTTAATCACATACAAAATGTAATTACATGACATGTAGGCTGTGTGTGGCGGGATATATAAACTTTTAGGTTGAGGTGTAGATTTGTGCAGTAGTTTCAGGCTGCTGCGCCCGCCGCAATAAGTTCTAATGTGACGTTGTAAGCCTCATTTTGGCGCCCCTTTACCTTGGCGCCCGGGGACATATGTACCCCCCTGCCCCCCCCCCCCCCCTAGCTACGCCTCTGCCGAGACTCACCCAGGACCTCACCACTCACAGAGCGCTCCGTTTCTCACTCAGCCATTCGCAGGGCGTTGCTGGACTGCAGAAGGTTGTCGCTTAACTTGCAGCAGGTACAGACACGAACCACAGGTTCGGGACGGGTCGTGGTGAGCCCGTGTGCGGACAGATATGAAGCCTTTGACTTACACAGAGACTCATAGACTTACACAGAGACTCATAGACTTACACAGAGACTCATGGACTTACACAGAGACTCATAACTTACAGAGAGACTCGTGACTTACACAGAGACTCATGACTTACAGAGAGACTCACAGACTTACACAGAGACTCATAACTTACACAGAGACTCGTGACTTACACAGAGACTCATGACTTACACAGAGACTCACAGACTTACAGAGAGGCTCATGGACTTACACAGAGACTCATAGACTTACACAGAGACTCATGACTTACACAGAGACTCATAGACTTACACAGAGACTCATGACTTACACAGAGACTCATGGACTTACACAGAGACTCACAGACTTACACAGATACTCACAGACTTACACAGAGATTCATAGACTTACACAGAGACTCACAGACTTACACAGAGACTCATGAACTTACACAGAGACTCATTAACTTACACAGAGACTCATAGACTTACACAGAGACTCATAGACTTACACAGACTCATAGACTTACACAGAGACTCATAGACTTACACGGAGACTCAGGACTTACACAGAGACTCATGAACTTACACAGAGACTCGTGACTTACACAGAGACTCATGGACTTACACAGAGACTCATGAACTTACACAGAGACTCGTGACTTACACAGAGACTCATGGACTTACACAGAGACTCATGAACTTACACAGAGACTCACAGACTTACACAGAGACTCATAGACTTACACAGAGACTCATGAACTTACACAGAGACTCACAGACTTACACAGAGACTCACAGACGTACTCAGAGACTCACAGACTTACACAGAGACTCATGACTTACACAGAGACTCATGGACTTACACAGAGACTCATGAACTTACACAGAGACTCACAGACTCACACAGAGACTCATGACTTACACAGAGACTCACAGACTCACACAGAGACTCATGAACTTACACAGAGAATCACAGACTTACACAGAGACTCATGGACTTACACAGAGACTCATGAACTTACACAGAGACTCACAGACTTACACAGAGACTCATGGACTTACACAGAGACTCATGAACTTACAGAGAGACTCACGGAGACCCAGAGACTCACAGCGGGTTTAACTTGCCACTGAATATATCGCGGGCCGGCGGCACGGACGGACGGGCGACTCCCTCCCGCAAAATCTGAAGGCGGCTGTGGCTTCTTTACGCGACGTACGCAGCTGAAATAAATACCAGTAAATACCAGTGCTCTACCCTTGTAAATAAATAACTTCGCTTGAAATATATTAAAGTAGCCCCCCCCCCCCAAGTTGCCCCCTCCCCCACCGCCGTGGAATAGCCGGGGCCTGAGGCAGCGTAACGTTTGACCCCTGAGCCGAGTAAAGTTGTAGCCAAGGTTTTTCTGTTGCACGTTTTAGCGACGGCTCGCGCCCCCCCCCCCTCCTCCGCCCCCCCCCCTCCGCCCCCCCCCCCCCTCCTCCACCCCCATTCCCCCCTCCTCCGACCCCCCATCCACCCCTTCCTCCGCCCCCCCCCCCCCCAGCACACCCCCAGGCTCTCTCTCGCCGCAAGAGACCCGGTGTTTGTGGGCGAGGGTCAACGCGGCAGAGCGAGATGCTGTTGGCAGTGCTCGTTAGGGCAGGCGGTGACCTCCAGGGTTCAACGGGGTGTGTCGGGGGATTAGCGGTTAACACCGGGAGAGCACCCACCCCACCCACCCCACCCGACCCACCCACACCACCCACACCACCCCACCCACCCCACCCACACCACCCCACCCACCCCACCCCACCCCACCCACCCCACCTCACCCCACCCACCCCACCCACCCACAACCGCACGGCGCGATCGCTGTCGCGGTGGTCGCGCTCCTCCGCTGGGGCGAGGCGAGCTACAAGGTTCTTCTTTAAAGTCGTCATAAGATTTGGTTTTTAGTCCCTCGACTTGTGCTCCGAGCCCGTGGTGGCAGCGCGCGTCTCAAAGCCTCCACTCTTGGTACCCCGAGGGGGGCATCGCGCATTAAAAAGTAATAAAATATTTAGTTTAGTTTAGTCCTCAATAATAAAAATCTAAAACCCATTTTTAGTTTTTCCCACAGGGGCCACTTGCTCGCCCAGCGTTTACATTCACTCCGGAATGTAGTTCTGGCAACCCGGCCCGGAAGATCCCTCCGCCGAGCGAAGCGGCTCCAGCTCCGCGGCCTGCAGGCGTATACCGCCGCCGCCGCCGCGGGGGTCGGAAAAGTAGTCCACGACGTATCCCCCGGCGCTCCTCTCCGCGCGCAGGTTCGACTTGAACGACCTGAACGACTTGAGGATCCTCTCCGCGCACGGAGCGCTCCGCCCACTCGTTGACGTCCCGCACGTCGAGCGCCGTCGCCACGGCGACCGCCTCCTCCTCGCCCAGCTTCCCCGCCGAACCCGGCCGCCGCGCCGCGTTGTTGAGGCCCTTCGGGCCGCGCCGGCCCGCGTCCCCGTCTCCCCGCAGCCTCCCCAGGAGGCCCGCGCCGCCGCCCCATGCCGCCCGGCACCCCCCCGCGCCCCGACTCAGGCGCCGGCGGCGGCGGCAGAGCCAGAGCGCGAGCGCGGCGAGCAGCGTCGCCGCCAGCAGCGGCAGCGCCACCGGCGCCGCGACATCCTCGCCGGCGTCCGCTGGAACGGGGAGGGGGGGGGAGCAGCACGGTGACGAGGCGCCTGTGGGCACCGGCCCCGCCAGAGCGCCGCTGGCGGCGTTGCTGCCGGCGGGGGGGGGGTCACCCACTCCGGGTCGCCCCGGACTCACTCGCTGCGGCGCTCGCTCGACGGAGGCGGGGAGATTCTGGAAACTTGACAATTGTCGCGACTGCCGCGAGATTGAACAGTTAATCTGTAAGGCCGGCATGCTGACCATTACACTGCGACCACACGGGTCCTAAACCCAACCGCGATTGTGAACCCGCACAATTGCTAACCCTACCCTAAGCAATCCACGACTCCGGATTCTGCCTCCCTCTCTGACTCGGTCCGAGCAATCGCGCCCCGCGTGCTGACCCGGCGGGTGGGCGGTGCGCTCTGGGCAAGGGCACTGCCGGATTATCGGAGTAGCACAAGTCGCTACACACGTGTAGCTACTACACATGTAGCTACTACACATGTAGTAGCTACACATGTAGTAGCTACACATGTAGTAGCTACGGGGCCCCGCACATTCAAGGGCCCCGCGCTAAATGCTTTCAAGCTATCAATTCAGTGATTCTGTACTTGCTCTATTACTAGAGTACTATACCGCCTTTAACTTTTACGAACGACTGGGTGTTTAAGGTTAGCGATTTGTCGTATATCAAGGGAAAAAAATACCATTACTTTACTATGCAAGTAAAAAATGTGTGTTTTTTTTATTTAGGGCCCCTTTATAGCATATGCTACAGGCCCCGCACGAGCTCAAGGATCGAATGTTAAGAGAAGAGGGGCAGCTTCTGCGAAGCTCTGCCAACGTCGCCAAACAAGGACGGCCGACAGCAAACGAAAAATAACCCGGCAGCAGCGCCACACAGAGGCCTAGCGGGGCCCCTCCGGCCCTCCTTGGCTCCCCCGGGCCTCGTGGGCCCCCGCGGTGCAAGGAACGGAATGAGGGACCCCGTCAAACTTCCCTCTCCTCTCTGTGACCCCACACCCGGGACCCCCGCCCCACCCCCCGGGGCCTCGTGCCCCGGCGCGGGCGCAGGGAGGCCCCGGCGTGGGCGCAGAGAGGCCTCGAGCGGCCGGGCGGCACCCACCTGCCCCGCCGGCTCGCTCCGTGACGGCGCCGGGCGTCGAGGTGCTCCCCGTGGGGTCACTGGCGCTGCTCACCAGGCCTGGCAGTGGGGAGGGGGAGGCAAAGACAAAGGTCCCAGGTATAGCCTTTGACAGACCGTTGGGGCAAGTGCCGTTGGTGAGCGCCGACGGTGGCCAACGAGCCTCTCTCTCCCCAGTGCTGATGTTTACAAGGCCGCAGCAGCTACTCATTTCAAGGCTGAGTCGACCTAGGAGAGCCGCGCCAAGGGCCGCGTGGCCGCTAGGCCACAGCGTCGGCACCCCAACTGCCGTGACTGTCCACCACTGGACGGCCGCGACCCCGCCGTGGGGTCGCGCGAGCGGGACACCGAGGGGTCGTGCGAGCGGGACACCGAGGGGTCGTGCGAGCGGGACACCGCGGGGTCGTGCGAGCGGGGGGGACACCACGACACCACAGGGTCGTGTGAGCAGGACACCACGACACCACAGGGTCGTGTGAGCGGGACACGGAGCCATACCCAGGCGGCAGTCGGGCCCCGTGAAGCCGTGGGGGCATTCGCAGCGGAACCAGTTCTCTCCGTCCACGCAGGAGCCGCCGTTGTAGCTGTGGGCGACAGGCGAGTGGCGAGTCTTCAGTTCATTCGTATTCGTTTGTGCTCGCGGTACAACCCAGAAAAGCCTCACTGAGAGTCGTCAATGCAGTAGGGGACGGCGTTGCTGCGTACAGGATAACAGTCATACTTCACCACACCAGCCAGTGCGGTTCAGTTAAGGGGTGCACCCAATAAATACCCAGCGAAAAGGCTCACTCAGGTGAGCCGCGGCCGGGAATCAAGCGCGAACCGCTCTGCCGCTATCCCCCCCCCCCCACCCGCAACTTCAACAGATGGCAAAATTGTTTCTTCTTAACCGGATCGCGCCGGAGTGAGCCCCAATACTCATCAGATCTATGAAGCTAAGCAGGGCTGGGCCTGGATGACGCCCTGATGGGCGACCGCCACCCCCGCTGCTGCTGCTGCGTTGCGACGTGGCTCTCACGTGGTGAAGCAAAATTAATTTTGACAACTTGACCAGCGTGGTGGTGGTGAGGTATGGTCAAGTATGGGTGTGGGGCTGGGGTGGAGGGGTGGGGGGTAGGGGTGGAGGGGTGCGGGGGTGGGGGTGGGGCTGGAGGGGTGGGGGGGGTCCTCATCCTTTTAGCAACAGCAGCATTTGAAAACCTGCTGCATCTTCATAATCGGTTCTTACGCGTGATCGTGATTGGCTGGGCATGCCCGTTGGGCACCCAAACGAAATGTGATTGGCTGCAGCGCTATTGTTCACGGCGCTATTGTTCACGGCGCTATTGTTCACGGCGCTATTGTTCACGGCGCTATTGTTCACGGCGCTATTGTTCACGGCACTATTGTTCACGGCGCTATTGTTCACGGCGCTATTGTTCACGGCGCTATTGTTCACGGCGCTATTGTTCACGGCGCTATTGTTCACGGCGCTATTGTTCACGGCGCTATTGTTCACGGCGCTATTGTTCACGGCGCTATTGTTCACGGCGCTATTGTTCACGGCGCTATTGTTCACGGCGCTATTGTTCACGGCGCTATTGTTCACGGCAGCGTTGTGCAGCGGTGGGAGCGCAGTGACTCACCACGGGTGGGGGTTGCAGTCGTTGACATCTGCAAACAGACGGAGAATTCACAGAGGTGGAATTCGGTGAAAGTCAACTCGCAACGCCGCGACCACCACCACCGGCGCCACGGCCACCGCCGCGACCACCGCCACGGCCACCGCACAGAGGCGCCCGGAGGAGAAGCCGCAGCAGCAGCAGCAGCCGCCACGCAGCGGTGAAGCGGTGAAGTTGCCAGTGGCAACAATTTCCCAAGCTCTGCGGTCCTCTATACAGGGTGCTTCAAAAAAATGTTTAACGCTCATATGGGACTATCGTTTTTTACGGAAAAAGAACGGCTAATACTCCACTGTAACATGATAGCAAATGTATGTTAATAGCTTCAAAACGTCAAATAGTCTCCACCGTTGTCAACGCTATGCCTGGAATCTTCTCCAGGTGGTCTCCAGAGGCCGGAGGCAACACATCAATTGTGGTGTTGATGCAAATTTTCGGTAGTATTCAAAACAATTTGAAGCACTCTGCATATGAACGATTTATCAGGACATTCATGAGTGTTTACATGTGGGAGGAAGCAGTGCCTTGACTTTTAGATGCAGACAGAACGCGACGGACAGAGGGAGCGAGATGATAAAGTACAAACGGCATCGTGCATGGAGCCTTTAGAAGACTGTTGGGGCAAGTGCTGTTATCGAGGACCTATGAAGGCCGGAATGGTACACGGGAGGGAGGGTGGGTGGCCAGCAATACCCTCGTCCGCCTTTGTCTCCCCAGTGGCGATGTTTACACACCGCACCAGGTATTCATTTGAGGCTGAGTCGACCTAGCGGAGGCCCAGGACCGGTTCAGAAAATAGTCACCGGTGTTGGCCGTAAACGGGAATCGAACTCGGGTAACCGGGTTCATAGCGCAGCGCGCTAACCGCTACACTACCACCCCCCCATTACACACACAAAGACACACAACGACAACGATCCCCTGTATAGCCTTAACAGACTGTAGGGGCAAGTGCTGTTAGCGAGCAGCACCTATGAAGGCTGGTACGGCATACGAGGGGGTGGGTGGCCAACGCCACGCCCGGCCGCCTTTGTCTCCCCAGTGGCGATGTTTACACATCGCACCAGGTACTCATTTGAGGCTGAGTCGACCTAGGGGAGGCCCAGGACCGCTTCAGATAATCGTCACTGGGTGTTGGCCGTGAGCGGGAATCGAACTCGGGTCACCGGGTTCATAGCACAGCGTGCTAACCGCTACACCACCACACACACACACACAGACAGACACACACACAGACAGACACACACACAGACAGACAGACACACAGACAGACAGACACACAGACAGACAGACACACATACAGACAGACACACATACAGACAGACACACACACAGATACACACACAGACAGACACACACACACAGACAGACACACACACAGACAGACACACACAGCGCGTGCCGCGTGCGCCACTGACTCTGTGCGCAGGTCGGTCCGTCCCAGCCGTCGCGGCACACGCAGGTGAAGGCGTCAGGGCCGCCCCCCACACACACGCCGCCGTCGCCACACGGCCGCGCCGCGCATGCCGACGCCTCCGCTGCGAGAGACGGAGACCGGGAGTCACAGTCTCGCACCGGCTGACTGCGGGTAGCAGCCATTAACCAAGCCACTCATTCACTCAGCGAGTCACCCACCCAATTTAGACACTCAATCACTCGCCCACTCGCTCACCCACTCAATCATCCACACTCACGCGCCCGCCCGTCCACCCACTCACCCATCCACCCATCCACTCACTCGCTCACCCACCCACTCAATCATCCACCCACACACTCACGCGCCCGTCAACCACCCACTCACCCACCCACTCACTCACCCACCCACCCACCCACTCACTCACCCACCCACCCACCCACTCACTCACCCACTCAATCATCCACCCACACACTCATGCGCCCGTCCACCACCCACTCACCCACCCACTCACTCGCTCACCCACCCACTCACCCACTCACTCACTCACCCACCCACTCAACCATCCACACACTCACGCGCCCGTCCACCACCCACTCACCCACCCACCCACTCACCCACCCACTCACTCGCTCACCCACTCACCCACTCACTCATACACTCACCCACCCACTCACTCACCCACCCACTCAACCATCCACACACTCACGCGCCCGTCCACCACCCACTCACCCACCCACCCACTCACCCACCCACCCACTCACCCACTCAACCATCCACCCACACACTCACTCACCCACTCAACCATCCACCCACACTCTCGCCTGTCCACTCACCCACCCACTCACTCCCCCATCCACTCGCTCAACCACCCACCCTCCCCTCGAAGGTCGCCACCCCACCTGTCCAGGTTTCAACTTCCAAGGTTGCCACCTGTCCAGGTGGACCCTCTAGGGTTGCCACCTGCCCCGGTTTGACCTCGACATTCCTGGAATTGGCATCTGTGGTTTGGGTGGCAGCAGGACCGAGACCTGGTGCCGGTATTGCCGAGTTGAGCTCCCGTTGCCCCGAATGAAGTGCAGTGTTGAGAATAGACCCAGTGCCGAGTGGGAAGTACGTCCCCGTCTGCACTGTGGGAAAGGTGGCAACCCTAGCCGCTACCCCCCCACCCCCCCCCCCACCACCCCCACCCCCACGACACCGCTCGCACCCAGCGTGCAGCCGTGTCCGGTCCAGCCGGCCGCGCACGAACAGCTGTAGGTGTCGCCCAGGTCGTGACACGTGCCCCCGTTGTGACACGACAGCTCGTCGCACTGACCACCTCCTGCTCCACGCACACACACCGTGGGAGACGGGGGGGGGGCACTCGGTCAGGGTCAAGAGGTCACCCCCCCCCCCCCGCGTTCCAGGTGGGGGCTGCATCTGGAGCGCAGTCGCCTCGTGACGCACGCGGTGTCCCCTTTCAAATGAGTTTTTGAGATTAGATGATGTGACGAGATGGTGGGTGGAGGCGGTGGACGGTGGGTGCAGGGGGGGGCGGTGGGCGAAGATGATGGGTGGAGATGGTGGGTGGAGGCAGTGGGTGATGGTGGGTGGAGGTGGTGGGTGGAGACGGTGGGTAGAGGCGGTGGGTGGAGATGGTGGGTGGAGATGGTGGGTGGAGGTGGTGGGTGGAGATGGTGGGTGGAGATGGTGGGTGGAGGTGGTGGGTGGAGATGGTGGGTGGAGGCGGTGGGTGGAGATGGTGGGTGGAGATGGTGGGTGGAGGCGGTGGGTGGAGATGGTGGGGTGTTTGCGGTGGGTGGAGGTGGTGGGTGGAGACGGTGGGTGGAGATGGTGGGTGGAGATGGTGGGTGGAGATGGTGGGTGGAGATGGTGGGTGGAGGCGGTGGGTGGAGATGGTGGGTGGAGATGGTGGGTGGAGGTGGTGGGTGGAGATGGTGGGTGTTTGCGGTGGGTGGAGATGGTGGTTGGCAGTGGGTGGAGATGGTGGGTGGAGGCGGTGGGTGTAGGTGGTGGGTGGAGGTGGTGGGTGGAGATGGTGGGTGTTTGCGGTGGGTGGAGGTGGTGGGTGGAGATGGTGGGTGGAGGCGGTGGATGGAGGCGGTGGGTGGAGGCAGTGGGTGGAGATGGTGGGTGGAGGCGGTGGGTGGAGATGGTGGGTGTTTGCGGTGGGTGGAGGCGGTGGATGGAGGCGGTGGGTGGAGGCGTGGTACCCACGTGAGTGGCAGGTGCGCCCCTTCCACCCGCCCTGGCACTCGCACGCGAAGTCGTTGGCGAGGTCCCGGCAGCGGCCGCCGTTGAGGCAGGGCCTCGAGCCGCACTCGTCCACGTCTGCGAGAGCGAGCGGGCGAGCGGACGAGGGTAGGGGTTTTTATTTCACGCGCTGTGGAGAAGGGTCACTGCCCTGAAACGTCGCCTTTTTTTTTTTGTTTGAAGGCGGTGCATATTGACGAATGCGTTGAGTTGCTTTTCTATTTGTTGTTCTATCGTTGAGATCGATTAATGTTCGGGCAGTGGAGGTCATCGATTAGCGTCGATCATTGAGCTCGCGATGCGGGCATTGAATCGTGTGGGTGGGGCTACCTGGTCACTGGGCGGAGCTACCCGAGTAACGGGCGGGGTGACCTGGTTAGTGGGCGGGGCTACCTGGTTAGTGGGCGGGGCTACCTGGTTAGTGGGCGGGGTTACTAGTCACTGGGTGGAGCTATCTGAATAGTAGGGGTAGGCGGGGCTATCCGAGTGGTGGGCGGGGCTACCCGAGTGGTGGGCGGGGCTACCCGAGTGGTGGACGGGACTACCCGAGTAGTGGGCGGGGCTAGCGCAGGTAGGTGCGGGGCTACCCGAAGTGGTGGGGCGGGGCTACCCAGTAGGGTGGTGGGGCGGGGGCCTCACGAGTAGTGGGCGGGGCTACCGCGAGTGGTGGGCGAGGGCTAATCCGAGTGGTGGGCGGGGCTACCTGAGTGGTGGGCGGGGCTACCTAAGTGTTGGGCAGGGCTACCTGAGTGGTGGGCGGGGCTACGCGAGTAGTGGGCGGGGCTACCCGAGTAGTGGGCGGGGCTACCTGAGTGGTGGGCGGGGCTACGCGAGTGGTGGGCGGGGCTACGCGAGTGGTGGGCGGGGCTACGCGAGTGGTGGGCGGGGCTACGCAGGTAGTGGGCGGGGCTATATGACTCGTGGGTGGAGCTCAGGTCGGGAGAAGGCTGTGAATGAGGAGGCTGTGTGGGTGGTGGTGGTGGTGATGGTGGTGAGCTGCTGCTGTTGTAGTGAGGACGAGGAGTTGGAGGCGGTGGTGGTGCGCGCACTCACCGTGCTGACAGAGCTCGCCCTCCCAGCCGCTGGGGCAGATGCACTGGAAGGAGGCGACTCCGTCCACGCAAGTGCCTCCGGCCCCGCAGCTCACGCCCGCACACTCATCCATGTCTACGCACAGAGACACAGATCCCCCGTGTAGCCTCAGCGGACCGTCGGGGCAAGAGCTGTGAGCGAACACCGATGAAGGCCGGCACTGTGGCACACGAGGGGGCGGGCGGCCCCGAGCGGCGATGTTTACTACACCGCACCAGCTACTTGTTGAAGGCTGAGTCGACCTAGGGGTGGCCCAGGACCGGTTGATTGCTCGCTGTGAGCGGGAATCGAACTCGGGTTGCCGAGTTTGTGGCGCAGCACGATAACCACTCCTCCCACCCACCACTACCCCCACCGCTCCCCCCCCCACCGCTCCCCCCACCGCTCCCCCCCCACCCACCGCTCCCCCCACCGCTCCCTCCACCCACCGCTCCCCCCACCGCTCCCCCCACCCACCGCTCCCCCCACCGCTCCCCCCACCACCGCTCCCCCCACCACTCCCCCCACCCACCACTCCCCCCACCGCTCCCCCCCACCCACCGCTCCCCCCACCGCTCCCCCCCCACCCACCGCTCCCCCCACCGCTCCCTCCACCCACCGCTCCCCCCACCGCTCCCCCCACCCACCGCTCCCCCCACCGCTCCCCCCCACCCACCGCTCCCCCACCACTCCCCCCACCCACCACTCCCCCCACCGCTCCCCCCCACCCACCGCTCCCCCCACCGCTCCCCCCCACCCACCGCTCCCCCCACCGCTCCCCCCCACCCACCGCTCCCCCCACCGCTCCCCCCACCCACCACTCCCCCCACCGCTCCCCCCACCCACCACTCCCCCCACCGCTCCCCCCCACCCACCGCTCCCCCCCACCGCTCCCCCCCACCCACCGCTCCCCCCACCGCTCCCCCCACCCACCGCTCCCCCCCACCCACCGCTCCCCCCACCGCTCCCCCCACCCACCGCTCCCCCCACCGCTCCCCCCCACCCACCGCTCCCCCCCACCCACCGCTCCCCCCACCGCTCCCCCCCCACCCACCCCCCCCCACCCACCGCTCCACCCACCGCTCCCCCCAACCACTGCGCCCCCCACCGCTCCCCCCACTGCGCCCCCCCCCACCCACCGCTCCCCCCACCCACACACATGCACTGCATCTGGCAATGAGTGGATGATGTAGCCACAAGCAGCTACCAATATAAAACATGATGATGACGATCGTGACGATGATAGAGTTAGTTGATGACGATGATGATAATGATGATGACGACAATTATGAGAATGATGATCTCAGAAGCTAAGCTGGGTTGAGCCTGGACAGCGCTTGGATGGGTGATCACCACGCACACACACAGAGGTTGTCACAGTGCAGACAAATACATTTGTTGTACCGTACATCTACGCTCCCGCTAAGTACGGTGAGATAACCTCCCCGGGCCCACGTGACGTGGATTGACACGGCACGTGTGCGCTTGTACACGATGGCATGGATCACGACGACGATGACGACGACGATGACGATGATGACGACGATGACGACGATGTTACCGATGGGCAATAACGACGGCGATCATCGCCTCAGCGACGCACTCTTCGACAGCGCGCGCGGTCACTCACTGTGCTGGCAGTGCTCGCCCGTGTACCCAGCCTGGCACCGGCAGGTGTAGGCGCCGTCGGGGCCGCCCACGCACGCGCCGTGCTCCCCGCAGACGCGCGCCGCCGCGCGGCCCCCACCGCCGGGGCCCTCGGTGCGTTTCGGCGGAACGACCGTCACCGTCACCACCACCGTCACCGCCACCGTCACCGCCACCGTCGGTGCCGTCACTCCACACACGTCCAGCGCTGGGGACAGCCGCAACAACGGGGGGACACGGGGGGGGGGGACAAAGGGGGGAGAAGGGGGGGGGCAAGGGGGGCAAGGGGGTGACGCGGAGACAATTGGAGTCGGCCAGGGGTGGGGGTGAGAGACGGCCGGAGACGGACGACTCGAGCCCTCGACCAAACACGCTCTCCTCACCAAGTCAGCGGTGACGGCGGTAGCTGCGGTGGTGTTTGCGGGGGACATGGCGGCGGTGGTGGTGGTTGCAGTGTTGGTGGAAGTAGCGGTGATAGGTGGAGGTGACGATGGCAGTGGTGAAGGCAGTGGTTGCGGTGGTGGTGGTGATAGCGGTGATAGCAGTGGTTGCGGTGGTGGTGGTGGTGATAGCGGCGGTGGCGGTGGTGGTGACGGTGCTCACCGGTGTCACAGTGCCGCCCCGTCCACCCCGGCAGGCAGCTGCAGTAGAAGCCGCCGAGGAGGTTGCGGCACCGCTTGGCGTGGACGCAGGGACCCGCGGCACACTCGTCGGCGTCTGTCTCCAACGTCACACCCACGACGTCACAGCAACAACGTCACACTCGTCGGCGTCTGTCTCCAACGTCACACCCACGACGTCACACCCACGACGTCACTGCTCCCCCACAGACACCAACACGGACAGAGCTCCAGCGGTGGCCACGACCGCCGCCTGGGGCGACATTCACAGCCACGGCTGGGCCCTGGCTCGGCCCTGGCTTGGCCTGGCTCAGCCTGGCTGGGCCCTGGCTCGGCCTGGCTCGGCCTGGCTCGGCCTGGCTGGGCCTGGCTCCACCTCCAACGCCGCTGAGGCTCAGCTCAGGCTCGCGCCGCTCGAGTGAGCGAGCCGCTCAGCCGCGGCTCGCCTCAGGCTCAGGTAAAGTGCGGGGATTTGAGCCGGCACGCTTGAGCCAGAGCCGGAGCCGAGCCAGGGAGCCGCAGCTAGAAAAACGGGCTTCGCTCTTTAGCAGAAACTAGCACTGGAATGCACTCGATTCTGTCAGGCGAAGATAGCTCGTGATGATGGCGATGTCGTCGATCATAACAATCATGACGATGATGATTCTGGCGATGATGACAATGACGACAACGACGACGACGCTGGTGTGCGCGTACCGATCATGCAGGTGCTGCCCGTCCACTCGGGGCGGCACACGCACTCGAAGCCCCCGCTGGGCAGCGCGCGGCACTCGCCGCCGTTGCCGCATGGGTTGGGCTGGCAGCGGCCGTCCCCTGCCGACGACAAAAATCAGCGGCGACGAGGACGACGACGACGACGAGGATGGCGGCATCACGAGAGACGAGTCGGTCAGGCATGGCACCGCGAAGACGATGATGACGATGACTGAAGACGATTACGGTGCAGGCGATGACGACGGTGATGACGGTGATGACAGTGATGACGATGACAGTGAAGACGACAACGGATGGTGATGAGGATAGCGATGACGATGATAACGGTGAAGACGATGACGACGGTGATGGCGATGATGATGGTGATGACAGTGATGACGATGACAGTGATAACGGCGATGACGGTGATGACGATGATGACGATGACGACAGTGATGACGATGACAGTGAAGACGATGATGTTGATGACGACAATGATGACGATGACGACAGTGAAAACGGTGATGACGGCGATGACGGTGAAGATGATGATGACGATGACGACAGTGATAACGGTGATGATGGTGAAGACGATGATGACGATGACGATGGTGATGACGATGACAGTGAAGACGATGATGTTGATGACGACAATGATGACGATGACGACAGTGAAAACGGTGATGACGGCGATGACGGTGAAGATGATGATGACGATGACGACAGTGATAACGGTGATGACGGTGATGACGTTGACAGTGATAACGGCGATGACGGTGAAGACGGTGATGACGATGACGACAGTGATGACGATGACAGTGAAGACGATGACGGTGATGAGGATGGCGATGACGACGACGGATGGTGATGACGGCGATGATGAGCAGGCCCGTCCATGGTGCGGGGGGGGGGTGCGCGGGACCCGGGGCAAGTCACGCCGTGCGGGACCCCCCCCCCCTCCTAACGCCTTCAACCTGAACCGGAAGTACGACACCTGACACCACTGTGACGTCAGAACGCGCCCCCACCCCCTTCCCCCCCAGCGGTCTCCGCCGGGTACCCCAGGGGCCAGGCTCCGGCGGTGACGACACCGCCACCGACACTGCGTGGCCGCCACCGCCGCCACGCTCACCGCCACCATTCTCACCGCCACCATTCTCACCGCCACCACGCTCACCGCCACGCTCACCACCACCATGCTCACCGCCACCATTCTCACCGCCACCACGCTCACCGCCACGCTCACCGCCACCACGCTCACCGCCACCACGCTCACCACCACCACGCTCACCGCCACGCTCACTGCCACCACGCTCACCGCCACGCTCACCGCCACGCTCACCGCAGCGCTCACCGCCACGCTCACCGCCACCGCCGCCAAGCTCACCGCCACCATGCTCACCGCCACGTTCACCACCACGCTCACCGACACGCTCACCGCCACGCTCACCGCCACCACGCTCACCGCCCTCACGCTCACCGCCACGCTCACCGCCACCGCCACCACCACCATGCTCACCGCCACCATGCTCACCGCCACGCTCACCGCCACGCTCACCGCCACGCTCACCGCCACGCTCACCGCTCTCGCAGTTGGGCCCGGTGAAGCCAGGTGGGCACGTGCAGCGGTGCTTGTTGGGCTCCGCGTTGAGGCACGAGCCGCCGTTGAGACACGGACGGTTCGCGCACACGTTCAGGTCTGGGGGGGGGGGGGGGGCACGGGCACCACGCGAGATGTTAACTACCTCGCCAAGGAGATTCGATCCCGACCTTGACGCCTGCTGCTGTACATGTGGAGTTTGCGTGTCTCTCTCTCTCCCCGTGGTGGCGTGGATTTTTCTCCGGGTCCTCCGGTTTTTCCCCTCCACCTTTAGAATCGACATCGCCACGCGTTTAAGAGGACTGCGCTACATTTCCGCATGATAAGCCACCACTTCGTAGAGCTATCATTTGTGATGGCCAGTCGCTTCTGAAGAAGAGCTACACGGCTCAATGGGGCCTTACCTGGTCAAATAAAAAGACTCTTTGGTTTTTTTTTTCCGGTAAAGTCACGTAGGTAAAAAATAAAATAAATGAAAACAACTAAATTAATCACGACGTTTCGGAGGCAACACAAGCCTCCGTCTTTGTCGTGATTGAATTTACTTGTTTTCATTTATTTTATTTTTTACCCACGTGACTTTGAATCCTTGCTGTCACGAAAGCTTCAAATCTAAAATAAAAATAGTTGAGTAAAATAGCGCAATGTTGTCAGGGCCGTCCATAGAGGGATGTGCCCCCCCCCCCCCAAACACCTTCAAACCAAACCCGAGGAATGACGTCTGACAGCAGCTGGCGTCGAAGCGTGGGTGCCCTAGGAACGGCCCTGGTGGTGGTGGTGGTTGTTGTTGTTGTTGTTAGCGTGGCTGCAGGGTTTTGGTAGTACATGTTGTTTATGCCATTTATTGTGAAAATTCCGTCACAGTTCCTATGATTGCTTTTTCATTGCTTTCATGGCTTTATTTTGGTGATTTCTAAAAGTGTATTGGTTTAGCCATGTTTGTTGTAGTACAAAGTTAGACTGATGGCCTTAATCTAAGTTGTCTTGTGGTTGTTGTTGTTGTTGTTTGACTTGCATCCCACTGGGATTTTTGCACACAGTGTTGGTGTACGGTGATTTTTTTCTGCGCTATTTTGCTGTCTTTTCTTGGATTTTCTGTTTGCACATAGTCACTTTAAGATGTTTTCTTGTTCATGTTTTAGTTTTTTGTTTGTTGCGGTTGCACCCGATTCCAGAGCCGAATGGCTCACAGGGCTATACCTAATAAATGAACTTGAACTGAGAACACCTGTGTACACTACGTCGAACTCCTGTCCGCACCGTACCTAGCCCCCACCCTCCGCACCCCCCTGCCCCCCACTTGCCCCTCCCCGCCCCCACCTACCCTTGTCACAGAGGAGGCCTCCCCAGTTGGTGTCGCAGTCGCACGTCCAGGGGCGGCCGCGGCACGAGCCGTGGCGGCAGCCTGGGTAGGCGACGCACGAGTCGCACAGCGCGCCCCGCCAGCCGTAGTGGCACCTGCGGAAAACAAAGATAAAGACAAAGGTCCTCCACGAGCGGCCCCGCACTTGCCTCGTGCACGGTGCGACTGCCGTCTCGTTGAGGCTGAGTCGACCTAGGGGCCGTCCATAAATGACGTCACGCGATTTTGGACGATTTTTGACACCCCTCCCCCTCCTCGTCACACGGCGTTACAAAAAGTATGCCCCCCCCCCCAAAACCAAATTTCCATTTTGAAAATAAAACGTGCTTCAAATGGCTTTAAACTATTGTCATTGTAGTGCGTATTTAAGTAGAACGTGTTGTCTGTATTGATTTAAAGTTGCGCATTTTTATGTGACGTCACATTTCTCAAATCCCACCCCCCCTCGTCACACATCGTCACAAATGTCTGACCCCCCCCCCCAGGTGCGTGACGTCATTTATAGACGGCCCCCTAGGGGGAGGCTCGGTACTACACGTGTGTAGTAGTTACACACGTGTGTAGTAGTAGCTACTACACACGTGTAGTAGCTACTACATTACTACATGTGTAGTAGCCAGAGGTGGGACAAAGTCATTGTTATGCAAGTCCAAGTCGAGTCTGAAGTCATCAAATTCATGACTCGAGTCTGACTCGAGTCCAAGTCACATGACTCGAGTCCACACCTCTGGTAGTAGCTACAACACGTGTAGTAGCTACACGTGTTGTAGCTACTACACGTGTAGTAGTCGCTACTATACTACTACACCGCGCTAAATGCTTTCAATCTATCAATTCCGGTTGAGTGATTCTGCACTTGCTCTATTACTATAGTACTATACCGCCTTCGACTTTTATGAACGACTGGGTGTTTAAGGTTAGCGATCAGTCGTATTAACTGGGCTTTATAGCAGATGAAAAATGACAATTACTTTACTATGCGAGTTAAAATTGTGTGTTTTAATATTAGTGTATTGTTTAGGGCCCCTTTATAGCATCTGCTACAGGCCCCGCATTGGTTACCGATTCAGATACTCGTCACTGGTGGTGGTGGTGGCCGTGAGCGGGGATCGAACTCGGTTGGCCGGGTGCGTAGCGCTTCTCATGAATGCAACACTCGACCGCACACACAATTACCCTCAACCACAGAGAACTAAGACACACACACAGACACACTCTAAACCACACGCCCCTTACACACACACTCTCTAAACCACACGCCCCTTACACACACACCTCATACAAAGATCCCCCGTCTAGTATTAACAGACTGTTGGGGCAAGTGCTGTGAACGAGCACCCATCAAGGCTGGCACGGCACACGGGAGTGGGGGGGGCGATGTGGCTAACACCACGCCCGGCCGCGTTTGTCTCCCCAGAGTGCTGATGTTCACGAACTGCGCCAGGTTCCTCGTTTAAGGCCGAATCGACCTAGGGGAGGCACAGGACCGGTTCAGATAAAATACGCAAACGGATGTTGGCCGTGAGCGGGAATCGAACTCGAGTGGCCGGGTGCTTAACAAATAATAGAAATAAATCGTCTCTGTGCCTGAGCCGCACTAATCGGGCACTAGAGGGCAATATCGTCAACCTGGTAAAACTGCGTCTCGCCCTGGTGAGCGGAGCGTTAAGGCTGTGGCCAAGCGCCAGAGGTGTTTCAAAGTCATCCTTATTACCATTATTATATCTGTACGACTACTACTACTAGGCTCAACCCACGAAGAAAAGATAAGAATGGGTTTTACCCTTTCTGGCAATAAAACGGTTGTGTTAAGATGTCCAAACGCCAAACAGGTGATACATTTTTCAAGGCATCAAGACTGCATCTGCCACGCAATCTTGTGGCAGAGCGCGCAGACAAACCTGGCTCTGAGTACAGCCCGACCTGGGGCACTGCCCCTGGCACGGGCTGAGCCCTCTGCGTGGCCTCGTCTCACCAGCGGTGATGGAACAGAGGACAACGCCAAAAGGCGAACAGTCCACAGACAACTCGTGTAGACTCGGAGTGTAGTAGTAGTGGTGTAGTAGTAGTGTAGTAGTTGTGGTGTAGTAGTAGTAGTGTAGTAGTAGTGGTGTAGTAGTAGTGGTGTAGTAGTAGTGGTGTAGTAGTAGTGTAGTAGTAGTGTATTAGTAGTAGTGTAGTAGTGTAGTAATAGTGTAGTGGTGTAGTAGTGTAGTAGTAGTGTAGTAGTAGTGGTGTAGTAGTAGTGTAGTAGTGTTGTAGTGTAGTAGTAGTGTAGTAGTGGTGTAGTGGTGTAGTAGTAGTGTATTAGTAGTGTAGTAGTAGTGTAGTAGTAGTGTAGTAGTGTTGTAGTGTAGTAGTAGTGTAGTAGTGGTGTAGTGTAGTAGTAGTGTAGACTAGGAGTTTAGTAGTAGTGGTGTAGTAGTAGTGTTGTAGTGTAGGGGTGTAGTAGTAGTGTAGGAGTAGTGTAGTAGTGGTGTAGTAGTGGTGTAGTAGTGTAGTAGTGGTGTAGTGGTGTAGTAGTAGTGTATTAGTAGTAGTGTAGTAGTAGTGGTGTAGTAGTAGTGGTGTAGTAGTAGTGTAGTAGTGTTGTAGTGTAGTAGTGGTGTAGTGGTGTAGTAGTGTAGTAGTAGTGTAGTAGTAGTGGTGTAGCAGTAGTGTAGTAGTGTTGTAGTGTAGTAGTGGTGTAGTGGTGTAGTAGTAGTGTATTAGTAGTAGTGTAGTAGTAGTGGTGTAGTAGTAGTGGTGTAGTAGTAGTGTTGTAGTGTAGTAGTAGTGTAGTAGTAGTAGTGTAGTAGTGGTAGTGTAGTAGTAGTGGTGTAGTAGTAGTGTTGTAGTGTAGTAGTAGTGTAGTAGTGGTGTAGTGGTGTAGTAGTAGTGTATTAGTAGTAGTGTAGTAGTAGTGTAGTAGTAGTGTAGTAGTGTAGTCGTGGTGTAGTTGTGGTGTCGTATCAGAGCACTTAGAGCTCTGGTTGAGCAGTTCTATCTCATTATCTTACCTTCTAACCGCTATCCAAGATGATGGAAACCACATTAATAGGTTTTACCTATTAATAGTTGTAACCTGTTATTGTTTAGGTGCTCTGGTTGATGCAGACTTGATGATGCCCTGCAACATCTGCGACTACTTCGTCTTTGAACATCTTAACACAACCTGATGTATTATTGCCTGGCAAGGATAACGCCTACTACTATTGTTGTTGTTTTTCTCATCATTTTAACTCGCTGAATTCGTGCCCCATACTTGGACATCTGCGTACAAAGAGCTTCATAGCTCAACGGATTCCTCCTCCCAGTCTAAATAAAGATTCCGATTCTGAAAGATTCTGATACCGGCACGAACAAATGGTCCCTTCGCACGGCGCGCCAGCTCCGGGAAGCAAGGGGGGGAAACCAAACAACACAGACGGCACCCACGTGCAACGCAGAGACCCACGTGCAACGCAGAGAGACACGTGCAACGCAGAGAGACACGTGCAACGCAGAGAGGCACGTGCAACGCAGAGACCCACGTGCAACGCAGAGAGGCACGTGCAACGCAGAGACCCACGTGCAACGCAGAGACCCACGTGCAACGCAGAGAGGCACGTGCAACGCAGAGACCCACGTGCAACGCAGAGACACGTGCAACGCAGAGAGGCACGTGCAATGCAGAGAGACACGTGCAACGCGGAGACCCACGTGCAACGCAGAGACCCACGTGCAACGCGGAGAGACACGTGCAACGCAGAGACCCACGTGCAACGCAGAGAGACACGTGCAACGCAGAGACACGTGCAACGCAGAGAGACACGTGCAACACAGAGAGACACGTGCAACGCAGAGATCCACGTGCAACGCAGAGACCCACGTGCAACGCAAAGAGACACGTGCAACGCAGAAAGGCACGTACAACACAGAGAGACACGTGCAATGCAGAGAGACACGTGCAACGCAGAGACCCACGTGCAACGCAGAGACCCACGTGCAACGCAGAGAGACACGTGCAACGCAGAGAGACACGTGCAACGCAGAGACACGTGCAACGCAGAGAGACACGTGCAACGCAGAGACCCACGTGCAACGCAGAGAGGCACGTGCAACGCAGAGACTCACGTGCAACGCAGAGACACGTGCAACGCAGAGAGGCACGTGCAATGCAGAGAGACACGTGCAACGCAGAGAGACACGTGCAACGCAGAGAGACACGTGCAACGCGGAGACCCACGTGCAACGCAGAGACCCACGTGCAACGCGGAGAGACACGTGCAACGCAGAGAGACACGTGCAACGCAGAGAGACACGTGCAACGCAGAGAGACACGTGCAACGCGGAGACCCACGTGCAACGCAGAGAGACACGTGCAACGCGGAGACCCACGTGCAACGCAGAGACCCACGTGCAACGCGGAGAGACACGTGCAACGCAGAGACCCACGTGCAACGCAGAGAGACACGTGCAACGCAGAGAGACACGTGTAACGCAGAGAGACACGTGCAACGCGGAGACCCACGTGCAACGCAGAGAGACACGTGCAACGCAGAGAGACACGTGCAACGCAGAGACACGTGCAACGCAGAGAGACACGTGCAACGCAGAGACACGTGCAACGCAGAAAGACACGTGCAACGCAACGACACGTGCAACGCAGAGACCCACGTGCAACGCAGAGACCCACGTGCAACGCAGAGAGACACGTGCAACGCAGAGACCCACGTGCAACGCAGAGAGACACGTGCAACGCAGAGACCCACGTGCAACGCAGAGAGGCACGTGCAATGCAGAGACCCACGTGCAACGCAGAGAGACACGTGCAACGCAGAGACCCACGTGCAACGCGGAGAGACACGTGCAACGCGGAGAGGCACGTGCAACGCACAGAGACACGTGCAATGCGGAGACCCACGTGCAACGCAGAGAGACACGTGCAACGCAGAGACCCACGTGCAACGCAGAGAGACACGTGCAACGCAGAGACCCACGTGCAACGCAGAGAGACACGTGCAACGCAGAGACCCACGTGCAACGCAGAGACACGTGCAACGCAGAGACCCACGTGCAACGCAGAGACCCACGTGCAACGCAGAGAGACACGTGCAACGCGGAGACCCACGTGCAACGCAGAAAGATACGTGCAACGCAGAGAGACACGTGCAACGCAGAGACCCACGTGCAACGCAGAAAGATACGTGCAACGCAGAGAGACACGTGCAACGCAGAGTCCCACGTGCAACGCAGAGAGACACGTGCAACGCAGAGAGACACGTGCAACGCAGAGAGGCACGTGCAACGCAGAGGGGCACCCCGGCTCAGGAGTCGAACCCGGCGTGCGCGTCACCGATGCTGGTGGAGCGCCGCCTCCCAGCGCTGCTCGACTCTGAAAAGCGCCTGGCTCGCATCACTGCGCTGGCTAATGGCTTGGTGGGGGGGGGGTGTAGGTGGGTGGGGGGGTGTAGGTGGGGGGTCTGTGGGGGGGGGGTGTAGGTGGAGGGGGGGGCTGGTGGAGGGGGGTGTAGGTGGGGGGGGGGTGTAGGTAGGGGGGGTGTAGGTGGGGGGGTGTAGGTGGGGGGGGTGTAGGTGGGGGGGGGTGTAGGTGGGAGGAGTAGGTGGAGGAAGGGCTGGTGGAGGGGGGGTGTAGGTGGGGGGGGGGGCTTGTGGAGGGGGGTGTAGGTGGGGGGTGTAGGTGGGGGGGGGGGGCTGGTAGAGGGGGGGGGGGCTGGTGGAGGGGGGGGGGCTGGTGGAGTTGGGGGGAGGGGCTCAGGGTGGGGTGGGGGGGGCAGGGGGGATGCACAGGCCCAGCTAAGTGGGACTGTAATCGATGCAGTGTCTGTGCATTATTGATGAGCGAGACGTTGGGGCAGGCAGGGAGTGAGGGAGGCAGGGAGTGAGGGAGGCAGGGAGTGAGGGAGGCAGGGAGTGAGGGAGGCAGGGAGTGAGGGAGGCAGGGAGTGAGGGAGGCAGGGAGTGAGGGAGGCAGGGAGTGAGGGAGGCAGGGAGTGAGGGAGGCAGGGAGTGAGGGAGGCAGGGAGTGAGGGAGGCAGGGAGTGAGGGAGGCAGGGAGTGAGGGAGGCAGGGAGTGAGGGAGGCAGGGAGTGAGGGAGGCAGGGAGTGAGGGAGGCAGGGAGTGAGGGAGGCAGGGAGTGAGGGAGGCAGGGAGTGAGGGAGGCAGGGAGTGAGGGAGGCAGGGAGTGAGGGAGGCAGGGAGTGAGGGAGGCAGGGAGTGAGGGAGGCAGGGAGTGAGGGAGGCAGGGAGTGAGGGAGGCAGGGAGTGAGGGAGGCAGGGAGTGAGGCAGGGAGCTGTGACCCACGCCGATCTCCGCTGTGTGTCTGTAGTTCATGGGCACCACGTGCCCACGTCTGGCCGAGCTTCGTTCTAGCCGGTGCCGGTGGCGGTGCTGGTGGCTACGCTGCACGTGGCTGCCTGCAATCCGGCGCGGTACTGGGGAGACAAAGGCGGCCGGGCGTGTTGCTGGCCACCCGCTCCCTCGTGTGCTGTTACTCACTAACAGCACTTGCCACCGCGGTGTGCTAAAGGCTACATGGGGGATCTTTGTCTCTGTGTTTCCACGTGAACGCGCATTGCACGATGCCGCTGGTGCTCTCTCTACCATCTCGCTCCCTCTACCCGTGGCGTTCTGTCTGGAAGTCACGACGCTGCTGACGAGCCGGCTGAATGGCAGATGATTAGCCAGGTGGTGGTGGTGGTGGTGGCTACGCTGCTGCGCGTGGCCGCCTGTAGCCCAGCGCTGTGCAGGCAGCAGCTATGGTTGGTGAATCACACGCAGATGGTGCGGAACTCCCTCCTGCCCGTGGGCGTCGATGTGGAGCCGTGCTCTGGCTCGCCAGCAGAGCGTCTACTCCGGCTGGCCCGTCTGTGTGGGATCGAGTGTTCCCCCCTCGCACGCTGCTGGGAATTCGCCGGGTACTCCAGTGTCCGCCCCACACTTGTGGCCGATAACAGCTTCATATAGAGGGGGCCACAGAGCTTGGGGAAGGACAGTCAGTGTTGGCTCAATGCCTCGCTGCTAGGTTGCGTGTTCGATTGTTGTCCTTCCCCTGCACCTCCCATTAGCACGGCTGGCTATGTACGTTTCCAAAATAAGTTCAACATACATACATACAACATACATACATACAACATACATACATACAACATACATACATACAACATACATACGCACGTAGGACTATGGGTCTCTGTGGGACTCTGTGCGTTTTTGTGGGTCTCTGTGGTTCTAAATCACACTCGCTCACACACTCACACACTCTCACTCACTCACACACTCTCACTCACTCACACACTCAGACACTCACGCACACACTCACTCACACACACTCTCACAACAACAACAACCGCCATTCGCCACTAAGTGGCGGTGACGTCACCACGACGCTTGTGCCAGGCCAAGTGCACCTTGAGGCCACGTGAAGTGTCGAACGCCCGCTGGCAGGAGGTCACGGGGCAGACCCAGCAGGTGTCACGGGTCGACTGACTGAGATGACCGAGATGACTGGCTGATGCACCACCTGTGCCCCCTACTGTACCAACTTGCTGTGTTTTAGCCACCCGACGCTCCGCTCGTTGTTGTGAGCTCACAACAACTCACACACACTCACTCACACACATCCCCACTCGTCTGTGGCACCTCCTCGTGCCTCTCTGCACGAGAGCGAGCAAATACGGTGACGACCCAGCGATACAAGCTGACATCGTTATTGTTGTTGTTATTGTTGTTGTTATTATTGTTGTTATCGTTGTTGTTGTTATTGTTGTTATTGTTGTTGTGATTGTTGTTGTTATTGTTGTTGTGATTGTTGTTATTGTTGTTTTTGCTGTTGTGATTGTTGTTGTTATTGTTGTTGTTATTATTGTTATCGTTGTTGTTATTGTTGTTATTGTTGTTGTGATTCTCCGTCTCGGTGCGACTGGACCCGTACCGGCACTCCGCGGGCTGTTGGCAGAATCCGTGCTCGGGGTCGCAGCCCGGCTTGCAGATTGCTGAAACGACAACAACAACAACTACAGCAACTACAACAACAACAACAACTACAGCAACAACAACTACAGCAACAACAACTACAGCAACTACAACAGCAACAACAACTACAGCAACAACTACAACAACAGCAGCAACTGCAGCAACAGCTACAGCAACAACTACAGGAACAACTACAGCAACAACAACTACAGCAACAACTACAGCAACAACTACAGCAACAACAACAGCAACAACTACAACAACAACAACTACAGCAACAACTACAGCAACAACAACTACAGCAACAACTACAACAACAACTACAGCAACAGCAACAACAACAACTACAGCAACAACTACAGGAACAACTACAGCAACAACAACTACAGCAACAACTACAGCAACAACTACAGCAACAGCAACAACAACAGCAACAACTACAACAACAACAACTACAGCAACAACAACTACAGCAACAACTACAGCAACAACTACAGCAACAGCAACAACAACAGCAACAACTACAACAACAACAACTACAGCAACAACTACAGCAACAACAACTACAGCAACAACTACAGCAACAACTACAGGAACAACTACAGCAACAACAACTACAGCAACAACTACAGCAACAACTACAACAACAACAACAACAGCAACAACTACAGCAACAACAACTACAGCAACAACAACTACAGCAACAACTACAACAACAGCAACAACTACAGCAACAACAACTACAGCAACAAATACAGCAACAACTACAACAACAGCAACAACAACAGCAACAACTACAGCAACAACTAGAACAACTACAGCAACAACAACTACAGCAACAACTAGAGCAACAGCAACAACAGCAACAACTACAACAACAACAACTATAACAGCAACAACGACAGCAATAACTACAACAACTACAACAGAAACAAAAACGACAGCAACAACTACAACAACAGCAACAACTACAGCAACAACTATAACAGCAGCAACAACAAGTACGACATGTTCATACTTAGCACGTTGTAGGCTTTCACGAGCAATGTTATCCACAATCGAGGTTTTTTTTTTGGGGGGGGGGGGGTTAGATCGCGAAAGTGTCAGTGTGTCGTTCACCCTCCACCACCCGACACAGCCAGTTCGTGTGTCACGTGAACACAGCGTGCCAATTAGCGATCACATCACAACGGAGCGCGACATTTTGCTGCTGATCACAACCAGCTTCATCAGGCGACACTGCCATCCTGGCAACATAATAACTCAACGGCAGGTTGAGTTCACGTGGACAAACCTTGCCAATTGGCCGTGTCGGGTGGTGGTGGGTTAACGGCGCATCGCTATTTACGGGATCTACCCCACGTAGGAACGCGCTCACACGTAAAGTGAACACGCGTGACGCACGGCCATGTGACGACCCCTTAGGGGTCCCTCCGGACGACCCTTTCGGGGGTCCCTCCGGACGACCCTTTCGGGGGTCCCTCCGGACGACCCCCGCCGTCCACGTGAGCCCCCTTCCTACCCCCGAGCAGCGACGGTAGCGGCCGATCCGCTGCGGCCACGAGGCCGTGGGCCAGTCCCTTCTCGACGATGAAGTCATCGTCCAAGCAGGTCAAGAGGTCAACGCAGTCAATGCCACCGCTGCCACCACACCCCGGCCACGGCTTCCTTCCTGCCCGCTCTGGGCCCCCTCCGGGCTCACTAACACCGCCTCGTCACCGCCTCGAGGTCACCCACCTCGGGGTGGCACTCACACGGCCGGTCCCACCCTGCCCACAGTGTCCCACCGTGTCTCAGCGTGTCCCACCGTGTCTCAGCGTGTGTCACCGTGTCCCACCGTGTGTCACCGTGTCCCAGCGTGTCCCACCGTGTGTCACCGTGTCCCACCGTGTCCCACCGTGTCCCAGCGTGTCTCAGCGTGTCTCACCGTGTCCCACCGTGTCTCACCGTGTCTCACCGTGTCTCACCGTGTCCCACCGTGTCTCAGCGTGTCCCACCGTGTCTCAGCGTATCCCACCGTGTCCCACAGTGTCCCAGCGTGTCCCACCGTGACCCACCGTGTCTCAGCGTGTCCCACCGTGTCTCAGCGTGTCTCACCGTGTCTCACCGTGTCTCAGCGTGTCCCACCGTGTCCCACCGTGTCCCACCGTGTCCCAGCGTGTCCCACCGTGTCTCAGCGTGTCTCAGCGTGTCCCACCGTGTCTCAGCGTGTCCCACCGTGTCTCAGCGTGTCCCACCGTGTCTCACCGTGTCCCAACGTGTCTCACCGTGTCCCACCGTGTCCCACCGTGTCCCAGCGTGTCCCACCGTGTCTCAGCGTGTCCCAGCGTGTCCCACCGTGTCTCAGCGTGTCTCACCATGTCCCACCGTGTCTCACCGTGTCTCACCGTGTCCCACCGTGTCTCAGCGTGTCCCAGCGTGTCTCACCGTGTCTCACCGTGTCCCAGCATGTCCCACCGTGTCTCAGCGTGTCCCACCGTGTCTCACCGTGTCCCACCGTGTTTCAGCGTGTCTCACCGTGTCCCAACGTGTCTCATCGTGTCCCACCGTGTCCCACCGTGTCCCACCGTGTCTCAGCGTGTCCCACCGTGTCTCACCGTGTCCCACCGTGTCTCAGCGTGTCTCACCGTGTCCCAACGTGTCTCACTGTGTCCCACCGTGTCCCACCGTGTCTCACCGTGTCCCACCGTGTCTCAGCGTGTCCCACCGTGTCTCACCGTGTCCCACCGTGTCTCAGCGTGTCTCAGCGTGTCTCACCGTGTCTCAGCGTGTCCCACCGTGTCTCACCGTGTCCCACCCATCATCGCAACCGCCACCTGATCACATCCACAAGCTTTGTGCTACAGTCTTCTGAACGTCCGAGTCGCTCACCCTGTCCTTGCACGAAGTTCCCTGCAACCTCTGCCGGCATTCAAGAGCCACACTAAATATTATTCTCTCACCTCCATCCGCACAACCTCAGCGGTGCTACGATAAAAAAAGAACGAATCCCAGAATAATGTTGCTATACTATCCATTAGTAGCCAGATGTCCATATTTTTTTATATCATTTTATTTTATGACCAAGTAAAGCTGCCCCTGAGCTAAAACGTTTCTTTTTCAGAAGCGACCTGGCTATCACAAGTGGTAGCTCAAAGAGGTGGCTTATCATGATCGTGTGGAAACATGGAGCAGCCGAATACTCTAAACACGTGAAGTTGATTCTAAATGTGGAGGGGGGAAAAAACGGAGGACCCGGAGACAAATCCACGCCACCACGAGGAGAGAGAGAGACACGCAAACTCCAAATCTACAGCAGCAGGCGTCAAGGTCGGGATGAAACCCACGACCTCCTGCACACCAGGCGAGGTAGTCAACATGTCGTAGACACCGTGATGATGATGATGAAAGAGAGAGACACGCAAACTCCAAATCTACAGCAGCAGCAGGCGTCAGGGTCGTGATGAAACCCACAACCTCCTGCACACCAGGCGAGGTAGTTAACATGTCCTAGCCACCGTGATGATGATGATGATGAAAGAGAGAGACACGCAAACTCCAAATCTACAGCAGCAGGCGTCAGGGTCGGGATGAAATCCACGACCTCCTGCACACCAGGCGAGGTAGTCAACATCTCCTAGACACCGTGTTGATAATGATGTGAGAGAGACACGCAAACTCCAAATCTACAGCAGCAGCAGGCGTCAGGGTCGGGATGAAAGCCACAACCTTCTGTACACCAGGCGAGGTAGTTAACATGTCCTAGCCACCGTGATGATGATGATGAAAGAGAGAGACACGCAAACTCCAAATCTACAGCAGCAGGCGTCAGGGTCGGGATGAAATCCACGACCTCCTGCACACCAGGCGAGGTAGTCAACATCTCCTAGACACCGTGTTGATAATGATGTGAGAGAGACACGCAAACTCCAAATCTACAGCAGCAGCAGGCGTCAGGGTCGGGATGAAAGCCACAACCTTCTGTACACCAGGCGAGGTAGTTAACATGTCCTAGCCACCGTGATGATGATGAAAGAGAGAGACACGCAAACTCCAAATCTACAGCAGCAGGCGTCAGGGTCGGGATGAAATCCACGACCTCCTGCACACCAGGCGAGGTAGTCAACATCTCCTAGACACCGTGTTGATAATGATGTGAGAGAGACACGCAAACTCCAAATCTACAGCAGCAGCAGGCGTCAGGGTCGGGATGAAAGCCACAACCTTCTGTACACCAGGCGAGGTAGTTAACATGTCCTAGCCACCGTGATGATGATGATGAAAGAGAGAGACACGCAAACTCCAAATCTACAGCAGCAGGCGTCAGGGTCGGGATGAAATCCACGACCTCCTGCACACCAGGCGAGGTAGTCAACATCTCCTAGACACCGTGTTGATAATGATGTGAGAGAGACACGCAAACTCCAAATCTACAGCAGCAGCAGGCGTCAGGGTCGGGATGAAAGCCACAACCTTCTGTACACCAGGCGAGGTAGTTAACATGTCCTAGCCACCGTGATGATGATGATGAAAGAGAGAGACACGCAAACTCCAAATCTACAGCAGCAGGCGTCAGGGTCGGGATGAAATCCACGACCTCCTGCACACCAGGCGAGGTAGTTAACATCTCCTAGCCACCGTGATGATGATGATATTGTGAGAGAGACACGCAAACTCCAAATCTACAGCAGCAGGCGTCAGGGTCGGGATGAAACCCACGACCTCCTGCACACCAGGCGAGGTAGTCAACATCTCCCAGCCACGGTCAGCGCCGGTCGAGGCGGCCCCAGACATTTTGGGGCTTCGTACGCGGCGAGTCGCGGGGCGAGACGCCGTCCTCACCCTGGTCACACTCGGGCCCCATCCAGCCGTGCAGGCAGGCCTTGTTGCCCGCAGCGTCGCACGCAAAGTGCCCAAAGTGGTCGTCCCGGGGCCTGCAGAAGCGCGTGCAGGCGGCGCCGTGGTAGCGCGGCTGGCAGCGCACGCGCAGCTGGAAGACGATGGAGGCGGCGGTGCCCACGTGGCGCACGGTGCGCCACGTGGCGGAGCCCGCAGAGTCGGCGGCGAGCGGAGCTAGCGCCCCTCCGTAGACCACGCGCTCGATCAGCTCCGAGCCCGCGTCTGTGGCGACAGGCAGAACAACGCGGGACGTCGTCGTCGTCATCGTCGTCGCACGGCTGCTGCTGATGTTGATGCAGAGACCGCAACTGCGACGCCTCCTCCTCAATGGAGACCCAAACATCATCGGTGCCACCTCCTTCCGGCGTTGACATTCGTGGAAGACACTGGTGGAACCCATCAGCAGCAGGCCGATGGAAGATTAAAGACACGAGCCACAGTCATAGGACTGTGGCTATTCAACCCAGAGAGAGAGGACGACTCAGAGAGAGAGAGAGGGCGACTCAGAGAGATAGAGAGGGCGACTCGGAGAAAGAGAGAGAGAGAAAGGACGACTCAGAGAGAGGGAGGGGGGGGACATAAAGCAAAGCATTGAAAAAAAAACTAAATGATGAACGAAGCACAGTGCCGACTACACCAAGCATCTTCTTGTTTCCTCTGATCGTAAAAAAAGAAGAGAGGATGACTCAGAGAGAGAGAAGACGACTCAGAGAGAGGACGAATCAGAGAGAGAGAGAGGACGACTGAGAGAGAGGACGACTCAGAGAGAGAGGACGACTCAGAGAGAGAGAGGACGACTGAGAGAGAGGACGACTCAGAGGCGCCAGGAGGAGGGACCACAGACGAGGAGTGGGAAGGCAGCAGCAGCAGCTACGTGGTGGCGCCACCACAAATTGCCCACCAAGCTATGCGGTCCTCTACGTATCAAGATGTTCTCAGCCAGTGGTGACTCACTGTCTGTGTGTGTGCGTGCCTGTGATAGTGTCTGTGTGTATGGGGAGTGGTGGTGCAGCGGTTAGCGTGCTGCGTTCTAAACCCGGCGACCGAAGTTTGATTCCCGCTCACGGCCAACACCGGTCATGTATATGTCTGAACCGGACCTGGGCTTCCCCTAGTTCGACTCAGCCTCAAAGGAGTACCTGCTGCAGTGTGTAAAAAAACACATTCCTGCGAAGGGAGCTGATAGGAACGTTGGGTTGCTCGGTCAATGGCCAGGGTCAACGGCGGCGTGGTGTATTCCGCAAATATGCCCGACTGTGAGGACGGGCACAAGCCGGCGTGAGTAGGTTAAACGTTGAGTTTTATAAGGGCACCACGGGGTGACCAGCCCCTCCCCACCCAGCCCCACCCCTCGCACCCCCCAGCCAGCCCCTCCCTCCCAACCCAGCCCCTCCCCACCCAGCCCCACTCTCCAAACCCAGCCCCTCCCCACCCTCCCCTCCCCACCCAGCCCCTCCCCACCCAGCCCCTCCTTGCACGACGGACGGACGGACACAATAATCCCCTGTGGGCTGGTGTAACCAGGAGGTAACATTGGCACTGGGGGAGACAAAGGCGGCCGGGAGTGGTGTTGCCCAACCCACCCCCTCGCATGCCGTGCCGGCCTTCATAGGCGCTGCTCACTCGCATCACTTGCCCCAAAAGTATGCTGAGGCTATACGGGGGATCTTTGTCTTTGCGCTAGTGTAGTCGTGGTGGTGGTGGTGGTCAGCAGGCTGCGATGCACCTCAGAGGGGCCGGATATAAAGAGAGAGAGATAAACATGACGACACACATCTATTTATATAACGCACTGTGTGTGGGGGGGGGGGTGTTGGGTTGAGGGGGGGGGGGGGCCCGGGGCCCCCCCCACGTGGGGTCCACGCCCCGCGTAGGAAGGAAGCGACTTCTCCATTGAGCTGCGCCGTTCGAGACCCCCCCACCACCCTCCCACCATCCTCCCACCACCCCTCCCACCACCCCCCCACCACCACCCCCCACCACCCCCCCCACCACCCCTCCCACCACCCCCCTACCACCACCCCCCCACCACCCCCTCCCACCACCACCCCCACCACCACCACCCCTCCCACCACCCCCCCCCCACCACCCCTCCCACCACCACCCCCACCACCCTCCCACCACCCCTCCCACCACCCACCCACCACCACCCCCACCACCACCACCCCTCCCACCACCACCACCCCTCCCACCTTTCCTGCTCGGAACTGCGCGGCCTTCCGACTCGCCAATCACCACTCCAGGCAGCAGTAGAAGCAGCAGCAACAGCAGCACTAGCAGTAGAAGCAGCACTAGCAGTAGAAGCAGCAGCAGTAGAATCAGCAGCATTAGCAGTCGTACTGAAGGCAGCAGCAGTAGTAGTAGTAAAAGCAGCAGCAGCAGTAGAAGCAGCAGCAGTAGCAGCACTAGCAGCAATAGAAGCAGCAGCACTAGCAGTAGTAGCAGTAGCAGTATAAGCAGCAGCACTAGCAGTAGCAGCAGTAGTAGCAACAGTAGCAGCAGCACTAGCAGTAGTAGCAGCAGCAGCAGTAGCAGCAGTAGTAGCAGCAGTAGCAGCAGCACTAGCAGTAGTAGCAGCAGCAGCAGTAGTAGCAGCAGTAGAAGCAGCAGCATTAGCAGTCGTACTAGCGGAAGCACTATTAGTAGTAGCAGCAGTAGTAGCAGCAGTAGCACGAGCATCATGAGCAGCAGCAGTAGTATTAGCACCAACATCAGCCACAGCCACACCGCAGTATTATAACCAGGGCGGACCGCCGGGTTCCAACCGCTCCCCACGCTCGCTGGGGATGAGGAACGACTCCGACTTGCCGCTGAAGCTGCTGCGGGCCGCTTCTCTCTCCCTCCCTCCCGCTCTGCCTGAGAGAGAGGACCTCTTAAGTGGCCGAGAGTGGCTGGAATTGGCTCCCCCCCCCCCCCCACCAGCGCCCCCTCCCCTTGGTCCCCAGCACCGCCGACGCGAGCAGCAGGTTCAGTCGCTGGAATTGGGATTTTGCCGGAACGACAAAGATGACCCCCCCCCCACCCCCTCGTACCAAGAGTTGGTCGCGTTCGCTGTTCGGTGGCTGTGAACAACGCAGCAAGTAGGGAGGAGGGTCGGTGAGCGGGGGCCCGGGGTGATCCCTGAGTCTCAATACCCCCCCACCACCCCCCCACCACCCCCCCCCCCCACCACCACCACCCCCCTACCCACCACCCCCTACCCACCACCACCCCACCACCCCCCCACCACCCCCCACACCACCCCACCACCCCCCACACCACCCCCCACACCACCCCCACACACCGACCACCCCCACCAACCCCCCCACACCCCACACCACCCCCCACCACCCCCCACCACCCCCCCACCATCCCCCCACCACCCCCCACCACCGCCCCCCACACCACCGCGCGTGTGCCCGCAGCCCTTCATCCGTGAGAGCCACGTGACCTGGCCACGAGCAGACTTGATGCCTCGGGGAAGGTATCCACAGCACGTGGCGTCTGAGCGTCTGAACCGCGTGAATAACCCAGACAGACGGTAATGGGACCCCCATTGTAATTCGTGTGTATTCATTACCCCCACCCCCCCACTCCCAATTAGCACGTGAAGGGCTCACAAGTGACGTCATCGCACCTAACCCTCTATTCAAGGAACGAAAGGGGAGGACAGTTCCTCCACTAATCTGGCTGCTGAGCGCCTGATGGAGCTGGTTGTAATTAGTGGCGAAACGTCGTACACTCAGATTGTAAACGTTGTGGCTTGGCTCTCCAACACACAACCGGTTAGTGCTGTACTCGTGACGAATTGTCCATGTTCTGTTTACGTGACAACCCTCACTAGTTGGCTGTGTTGGGTGGTGGTGGGTTTAACGACACATTTAAATATTTACGCGATCTCACCCAAACAAGAAACCTGCATTGTCTATTATAAACCTAATTGCTTATGTCTCACACGCCGAACCCTACCAGAGGCACACGCCTCGAGCAGCACGTGGCAGGATGACGCGGCGGAGCGAGCCGAACTCCCCCGCCGCTCCCCAGACCGCCGCCTTCGTCTGCACGCCGCGAGGCCGCGTCGTCAAACTCGCGGGTCGCCTGTCCTGGCGTCTCACGTCAGCCGCTTCCTGCCGCCGCCGTTGCTGCTCACGGGCCGATTGAGTCATCGCCCCGCGGGCAGCTTCTGCCGGCGACCTGTCTCGTTTCCATGACGGTTGTGAGAACCGGGGGAGGGAGGGGGGCTCTGGCCAACACCCCTGGGGGGGGGGGGGGGGGCTCTGCCCAACACCCCAGGGTGCCCCCCCTCCACGGCTGCCCAGCCTGGCCAAACCGTGTCCCGATCAGTGATCGATTTCCTCGTTCTTCCATCGGCACATCCGAGCCCGTGCCAGCGCCGAACCCTCGCGGTACGGTTGGGTTTTCCACCGCCATCTGGAGCTGGCTCGCTTGGCCGAGCAGGGCCAGGGGCGTGCTCAATGATTTTCATCGTACACATTCGCGGTTGAGTCAGTGGGCACGCGTGAACGCGTTACGCTGACATGGTTACCGCGTTCGTCGGCGGCACGGCTCGGGTTCTGCAGTGGAAAAACACCGCCGACGCTTCCTGAGCCGCGCTGGGCTGGCACGGCACGGCTCTGGCACCACGGTTCAGATGTGCGGTGGAACAGAAACAACCATGGCTCACTTGTGTAACAGAAAGGGCCCGGGTGTGGCTAATAGGTGGGAGCGCAGAGCCAGCGTCGCTGACCTCTTGGGTTTGAATCCAGGGTTTATCCGCCGTCTCATCCCGGTCACCAGCGAGCATCACAAACGAAAAACACCATCACGGTAAATTTTCTCCGGCACTTCATTTGGCAAAATTCTAGCTCTGAGTATGATCGCCGGATCGAGGTCAAATTGTGGGCAATTATTCGCAATATTTAACTTGTAGAATTTCAAACAAACAACAAAAAGCCCCAGGCTGCCCTGCTTGGGGTTATTTTGCCTGCGGCCAGCGCGGATGTCACGACACGGAGGAGGCCGATGACGATGACGACGATGGTGAAGATGAAGGCGACGACGATGACGACAATGATGAAGATGAAGGCGACGACGACGACGACGATGATGACGACGATGATGACGACGATGAGGATGACGACAACGAGATCACGATCGAGATGACGGTCACCACCCTCACCGTGGAGAATCGAGCAATTCCGACGTGGGATCAACTTTCGTTTTGTGCCGAAATTGCACCGCGGGGAACAAAGTGACGACGAGGAACAATGGGGGGGGGGGGGGGGGGGGTGCGGCTTTAAATAGCTGCACCCGGCACGCGCCCGCGCTCTCGTTTTGTCAAAAATAAAACTTCACCAAACAATTTTTTGCCCTTTTCCCCCCAAACCGTCGTGTTTTTTTGTGTCTTTCCCAAAACTCCGCTGCCGGCCTTCTGGCGTCACGAGGTTCCGCCCGGAAAGTCCCACGGAGCTGGGCCCATCGCCGCGCGCGCCGGAGAGCGTCCCGCTGGAGTGGATGTCATGGAACTACTTCTGAGATCCCTTTCAAGTGCCGCCCCTTCCATTCAAACTTTATTTTTATCCCCACGGAGCTGGGCGGCGCGCTTTTGCCGGCACCGCAGAGCTCCGACCGAAATTTTTTAATTCTCAAGATCTGGAATCTTGCCACGTTGATCAGAGTCATTGATGACCGGTCTAAGTCCATCATCACAACTACCCTGTGCCCACTCACTCTCGCCCTGTGCCCACTCACTCTCGCCCTGTGCCCACTCACTCCCACCCTGTGCCCACTTACTCTCGCCCTGTGCCCACTCACTCCCACCCTGTGCCCACTTACTCTCGCCCTGTGCCCACTCACTCCCACCCTGTGCCCACTCACTCTCGCCCTGTGCCCACTCACTCCCACCCTGTGCCCACTCACTCTCGCCCTGTGCCCACTCACTCCCACCCTGTGCCCACTCACTCTCGCCCTGTGCCCGCTCACTCTCACCCTGTGCCGTGTCGTTGTCGTAGTCCCACGCCTCGAGGATGAGGGTGAAGGACGTCTGCGGAGAAGAAGAAGACGACAGGGGAGGGACGGGAACACGGAGTCGGCGTTACTGGAGCGAGCGGGGAGCCCGGCCGGTCGGGTCAGAGGTCGGCGCTTGCCGAGCCGGGAGCCTCCCCGCGGTGTGGGGCCGCTGCCCAACAGACGTGGGGGGGGGGGGGGAGCTTAAGGCCCCCGTCACTGACGGACCGCAACCGACATACACAAAGTGCGTGCAACAATGTTGGTTTCCGCGCTCAACCCTCTCCCGTTTCCGATGACGTACGCACGTGCATCATCGAGGTTTTTCTCATGGTTCCGTTCTGATGATGTACGTGTATGTCGTCAGAACCAAACCGGAAGAAAAATACAATGAAGTAACACCATTGGAACCTCATTTGCTACTGGCAAATGAGGTTCCAATGGTGTAAATGCTTAACCCAGAGCTCTCATACTCTGATGGTGCATTGTCTTTGAGTTGTGCGCCTTTTGGCGTAATCTGGTCCAACCCATGTGAGACTAGGCACTAAGGAAAGCTGTCTTGGGTGTGGACCAATCAACTTCAAGGACAGTGCACACATTATCAGAGTTGTGTTTTTTGTTTGCATTCCGACTGCAGATATTGTGGTCAATGCAAACATGACTCCTTGTAAAAAAGGTGTCAGTTTTGTTGCCAGATAAAAGGGTAAAAAAACAATTACAATGAAGTAAAATAACTTTATCGGCACCGAGGCTATGCGGGATGGCGTGTGGCACAGTTTGGCGCCAGCCATCACAGAGTGCGGTGGTCGTGTCGCTAGAGTTCTCTGCGGTGAGTAATAACGACGCCTCTCTAAATAAAATTAACGCTGAACCCGCTCGCGCGTTCCGAGATCGGCGGTGAATGGGACACCATCACCCTGCAACTTGCAGACGTCTCGGAAGGGGAAAGGTTAATTTGGCTAAATTCCAGCTCTGATAAATAAACATACAAAAAGTCGGGATTGACCACCACGTGATGAACTTCCCCCCCCTCCCCCACGTGGGGAGGGCGGTGAGGGGTGGTGAGGGTTGAGGAGAGTGGTGAGGGGTGGGGTGGGTGGTGAGGAATAGGGAGGGTGGTGAGGGGTGGGTGGTGAGGAGTGGTGAGGGTGGTGAGGGGCGGGGTGGGTGGTGAGGAGTGGTGAGGGTGGTGAGGGTGATCGTGGCTCTGAGCCAACTTAATTGGCTCCCCCATGGCTGTGCAGACTTCAATCAGCTCCCTCTCCCTCCCTCCCCCCCCCTTGTCTCTCTCCTCTCTCCCCCCCTTGTCTCTCCCCCTCTCTCCCTCCCTCCCCCCCCCCCCCGTCTCTCTCTCCCCTCTCTCTCTCTGCGCCTTCTCTCCCGTGTCTGTCTCTCGCTGTCTCACAGCGCGAAGGGCGCTCGGAGCGGCGACTCGTCCCCAACCCAGCGCCCATTTACAACCCGGCGCTTCGGAGGCAAGGGTTGGTGGATCACGCAGAGATCCGTGTCAAGTTCCCGCACTGCGAGGTGTCCACGGGACGGCGATAATCCAGCAGTTATTGTACGGTCCGTAATGTATCCTTGGGTTAGGCCACGGTAACGAAGTAGACAGCAGTTGTGTCGTTAAGAACCCTCCACCCCCTTCCACCCCAGACCCCGCACTCTTCTGATCCCCATCCCCTGTCTTGGTTAGAAGACGAACCTGCTACACCTTTTCCCGTTTTCCGATGACGTACATGTGTACATACGTGTACGTCAAACGGGTTAACTAGCTCCTGTTAAGAGAGGAAAGCCTACCCAGAGGGCAAACTTCCAATACATATTGATGCTGTCTACATATGTAGTACGTACGTTGGACTTCTTTCGTGCCGTACGCACGCAACTGTGCTGATAGCTCTGCTGTGACTGTTGATTTGGGTTCAATAAAAAAATGTTTTTTAAAACCTCCACCACCCGACGCGGCCGAACAAAACGAGCTTGTCGCGCGTGCAGGCGTTTAACGACGCGTCGCGTTATCGCTGCTGTTGTTGTTGTCGTCGTTGTTGTCATCGTTGTTGTTGTCATTGTTGTCGTTGCCATCATTGTTGTTGTCGTTGTCATTGTCGTCGTTGTTGTCGTCGTCGTTGTCCTTGTTGTCGTCGTTGTCATCGTTGTTGTTGTCGTCGTTGTTGCTGTCGTAGCGGCAGCTCGCTCACCAACGTCAAGCAGGCGATTCTCACGACCGAATTCAGCCGGCGGTGGTTGGATTCGCGTCGACTTGAGCGCCACGGTGGCTATGAGATGTTAACTCCCTCGCCCGGTACGCAGGAGGTCGTGGGTTCGATCCCGACCCAGCAGGCGTCAGGGTCCGGATCAAACCCACGACCTCCTGCACACCGGGCGAGGTAGTCAACATCTCCGAGCCACCGCGACGAGGGCGCGGGGGGGGGGGGGGGGGAAGGCCGGCGCGCCTCACCGGCCAGGCGAAGTCGAAGGGGATCGCCATCTTGCCGGCCTTGGAGCGCCGGCTCAGCTCGGCCGAGTCCCCGGCGAGGACGCGCGACGCCGCCGTTCCGTACGCGCAGGGCCCCGGGGCCACGGCGACGTCACGCCACTCCAGGTACTCGCGCAGACACGCACGCAGGTACGTGTCGCACGCGTCCTGCCACACACACGCACACACACACACGCATACACACACACACGCACACACACGCGCACGTGAAACTAACGAACTAACTATTTCTATTTGACCAGGTAAAGGCCCGCTGAGCTGTGGGGGTGACGTTCCTCGAGGGCCGTGACCCCCCCCCCCGTGCTCCTGGGTGTCAGGGGTCACGGCGACCCCCCCCTGCTCCTGGATGTCAGGGGTCACGACCCCCCCCCCCCCCTCACCTGGCAGCGCGCCCCTTCCGGCGTGTCCCCGCGAGCCCCGTCGCAGCAGCGGCCCGTGGCGAGTTGCCCGCGCGGGTTCCGCAGCGACAGCAGCCGCACCTCGAAGTTCCCCGCGGGCTCAGCGAGCTGCGGGGGCACACGCCGACGATAGACAGCGCGCGATATTACCGCGATACACATCGTAAGATACTAGGTCAGCGATGATCGCATCGTCGGTGTCATGTCGTGATCATATCGTCGTGTCGTGATGATCATATCGTCATGTCGTGATCATCTGTTATCTAAAATTGAAAACTAATTTCTCTAGAACTGCTTGTTGTTGTTGTTGTGTTGTTGTTGTTGTTGTGTTGTTGTTGTGTTCATTTGTTGTCCTTCTCCCGCACCTCTAATTAGCGCGGTGGTTGGCAACGTACGGTGCGAAAAAAGGTCAACAGACATACATGCAACATACATATATGCCAACATACATGCAACATACATGATCATCGTCGTGCCTCGTGTACAGTTGTAAATTGTTTACTGGAAAAACACGAAATTACAGAGCCTCAATTGATGATCTGGTGCGGTGGGAAGTAAACATCGCCACTGGGGAGACAAAGGCGGTCGGGCGTGGTGCTGGCCACCCACCCCCTCGTGTGCCGTGCCGGCCTTCATAGGTGCTTGCTAACAGCACTTGCCCCAGCAGTCTGTTCAGGCTATATGTGGGATCTTTGTCTTTGTTTTTTGTGGGTGTGTGCGGGTGTGTGTGGGTGTGTGTGTGTGGGTGTAGGTATGTGTGTGTGGGTGGGTGTGTGGGTGTGTGTGTGGGTGTGTATGTGTGTGTGAATGTGTGTATGTGCGTGTGCCCTAGCTGTTGTAACAACAATCAACGATCACCACCTTTGCCTGCCCGACTCAAGGTCTCGTTCCGCGCGAGCGCCTCCGTGTCGCTGAGCGCTTCGCGTCGGGGACGTGAAGAGAGGCGGCCCCAACACCGACGGTGTCCGCGGTTGTATCACCGTCGCGTTCTATCCGCGCGATGTCTCTAACCTGCTCGTGTTCTCTCAACCAAGGGTTTCGCTGTCGGTCTCCGATGCTTTCATCATGGTGATGCTCCATCCGCTGCTGCGTGGAGAGCGACATTTTCTATCCACTGCTGGATAGAGGTCACAGTGTTCTATCTGCTGTTGGGTGGAGATCAATATAATGTCACTAACCTGTGTTTGGGTCTCTAATCCACGTGTTCTAATCTCCGTCTCTCAATGTAACGGTCAAGTACGCGTCTGCGCTACCTGACGTCCCCGTTCCCTCCCCGCCTCCTCGACCACTCCGTGACCTCCCCTAGCCTCCCCCCACCCCCTCCCACTCACCCTGCCTGCTCCTCCTCCTCTGCTCATCCTCATCCCCCTCCTCCAGCCCGCTGGCCCCGGTCTGAGCACGGCCAAGCCGGTATTACTGGGGACATCGCCGGATCACGGGGATCACAGAGGCCTCGGGCGCAGTTGCCACGGCGTCTGAGGTCTAAGACGAACGCACGTGGAGCATGGGAAGTCACCACCGGCGCTGGGACGAGCACGCCACGGTGGCTAGGAGACGTTAACTACCTCGCCTGGTGTACAGGAGGTCGTGGGTTCGATCCTGACCTTGACGCCTGCTGCTGTATATTTGGAGTTTTCGAGTCTCTCTCTCTCAATCATCATCACGGTGGCTAGGAGATGTTAACTACCTCGCCTGGTCTACAGGAGGTCGTGGGTTCGATCCCGACCTTGACGCTTGCTGCTGTATATTTGGAGTTTGCGTGTCTTTCTCTCTCAATCATCATCATGGTGGCTAGGAGATGTTAACTACCTCGCCTGGTCTACAGGAGGTCGTGGGTTCGATCCCGACCTTGACGCTTGCTGCTGTATATTTGGAGTTTGCGTGTCTCTCTCTCATCATCATCACGGTGGCTAGGAGATGTTAACTACCTCGCCTGGTATACAGGAGGTCGTGGGTTCGATCCCGACCCTGACGCCTGCTGCTGTATATTTGGAGTTTGCGTGTCTCTCTCCCAGTGGTCGCGTGGATTTATCTCCGGGTCCTCCGGTGTTTTCCCTCCACATTTAGAATCGACATCACGCTTTTGGAGTATTCAGCTGCTATAAATGTCCACGTGATGATGATGATGATGGTAAGCCGCGACTTCGTTGAGCCATCATTTGTGATTGCCAGGTCGCTTCTGACAAAGAGCCACAATAGGGGTCAGTGGGGTCTTACCTGGTAAATAAAATTAGTTGAGTTTTAGTTTAGTTTACGACTTAGACCGGGCAGTGGTGGACAATCAGCGTCTCCCGAGACAGACTTTAAACCACCACATTGCAGCGTCACAGTCGTCGCGAAAACTAAGAATGAATGTCTCCCTTGCTGTGCCGAAAACTGTCAATAAATACATGTATATATATACATATACAGGATGCGTCACAATGTTATTAACACTTCTGAGAATTTGCAACAACGCCACGAGAAATGTGCCGCCTCCTCTCGGCTCTGGAGACCACCTGGAGAAGATTCCAGGCGTAGCGTTGACAATGATCACGTTACAGTGTAGTATCATCCGTTCTTTTCCCATTAAAAACGATAGTCCCATATAAGTCTTCACATCTGTTTCGAAACAACCTGTGTAGACACTTGGGTCTTTGCAGAACGCATGGGCCCTCTTTCGCTCTTGGTTATTGTTTGACTTGCACCCCACTGGGATTTTTGCACACAGCGGTGATATACGGTGCTTTTTCTGGAAGACTTTGCTGTTTTTTCCTGGATTTTTTTGTTTGCGCTTAGCCACTTTAAGATGTTTCTTGTTCCTGTTTTTGTTTGTTGCGGCTGCATCCGATTCAAGAACCGAATGGCTCACAGGGCTACACCAAATACATGAAACTGAAAACTGAAACACTCCGAGGGCCCCTTGCCTGCAACTACACATCTGGCAGCTTCATCAGCGTCCGATTCAAGTGAGACTCACTGCTGATGAGACACTGATTGTCAGAACCGGCCTAGAGTTCGACTTGTGTTGAACCAATGTCGCTGAAATGACGCACTCCCAGAAGGCCGTGCTACAGATGGGATGTGTAAAGAATGTAATGTGTTGGTGTTGGTAGTACAGGTGCTGTCGCTGTTAGTAGTACAGCTGCTATAGGTGCAGGTGACGTCAGTACAGGTGCTGTAGGTGCAAGTGACGTCAGTACAGGTGCTCTAGGTCTGTCGGTGACGTCAGTACGGGTGCTGTAGGTGTAGGTGACGTTAGTGCAGGTGCTGTAGGTGCAGGTGACGTCAGTGCAGGTGCTGTAGATGGCGTCAGTGCAGGTGCTGTAGGTGTGGGTGACGTCAGTGTAGGTGCTGTAGGTGTGGGTGACGTCAGTGCAGGTGCTGTAGGTGCAGGTGACGTCAGTACAGGTGAAGGTGACGTCAGTGCAGGTGCTGTAGGTGTGGGTGACGTCAGTGCAGGTGCTGTAGGTGTAAGTGACGTCAGTACAGGTGCTGTAGGTGCAGGTGACGTCAGTGCAGGTGCTATAGGTGTAGGTGACGTCAGTACAGGTGCTGTAGGTGTAGGTGACGTCAGTGCAGGTGTAGGTGACGTCAGTGCAGGTGCTGTAGGTGTGGGTGACGTCAGTGCAGGTGCTGTAGGTGCAGGTGACGTCAGTGCAGGTGCTGTAGGTGACGTCATTGCAGGTGCTGTAGGTGTAGGTGACGTCAGTACAGGTGCTGTAGGTGTAAGTGACGTCAGTGCAGGTGCTGTAGGTGTAGGTGACGTCAGTACAGGTGCTGTAGGTGTAGGTGACGTCAGTGCAGGTGCTGTAGGTGTAAGTGACGTCAGTGCAGGTGCTGTAGGTGTAAGTGACGTCAGTGTAGGTGCTGTAGGTGCGGGTGACGTCACCTGCAGTCGCGCGCACAGCAGCACCGCCCAGAGGCACGCGGCGACGTGGGGGCCGAAGGCCGCGACCCCCCGCCTCGGCCGAGCGGCCACGGGGCTCACACCGGGGTCCCCGTAGCAGCAGGAGGAGGAGGGGGGGTCCCCGTAGCAGGAGGAGGAGGAGGAGGGGGGGTCCCCGTAGCAGGAGGAGGAGGAGGAGGGGGGGTCCCCGTAGCAGCAGGAGGAGGAGGGGGGGTCCCTGCAGGAGGAGGGGCCCCTGTAGAGGGAGGGATCCCTGCAGGCTCCATGGAGCTTGCTCGGTTCCCCGAGGTTCCGTGCGCCCTGGGGGTCGCCGCCGTCCAGCGCGACTCTTCTGGGGGGCGAGGGGACCCCCCGCACCGCCGCCCACCACCACTGGTCACGTGGTCGCGCCGGGGCACCCAAGGCCCTCTGCCGGGGTCCACTTCTGGGGGTCGCCGGTGCGGTGGGGGGCACCCTCGTGCCAAACAACGGTGCCTCCTCCTCCACCACCTCCTCCACCTCCTCACGCCGAGTGACCATCGGCGCAGACATCATCAGATCAGCAAGCGCAATCCGTTTGGCTGACGGTGGTGCCGCTGCTCCATGAGCACTTGCAGCAACAGCAGCAGCACCAGCACCGGCAGCACCAGCACCAGCAGCAGCAGAAACACTAACAGAGCCCTAGCGGCAGCACCAGCAGCACTAGCATCCGTTAATAGTATTACAGCCACCAGCAATAATAGCAGTGAGACGTTTTAGGAGAGGCAATAAGATCAATGTATTCACCAAAAGCAGCTCAATGAGCACCACCACCACTCGTGACAGCAGCAGTGACGATGGCAGTCGGGTCCAGCTGCAGCAGCAGCAGATGATAAATCAGTGGTGGAACAAGCTATAGCTGCAGCATCGGGCTTGTCATACTCAATAGTTCAATCAGCACCAGCAGCATTAAGATCCACAGCTAACCCAGCAGCAGCATCAGATCCACACCTCACCCAGCAGCAGCAGCATCAGATCCACACCTAACGCAGCAGCACCAGCAGCAGCACCAGCAGCAGCAGCAGCACCAGCAGCAGGCTGCTGTTGTTGTGGTGGTGTCTGTGCGTCTCTGTACTCGCCTCGACTGAGCCCGGATCTCACCGGGAGTCGCCCACTGCCCGCAGCAGGAACACGCAGCAGGGACACGCCCCGCCTCGCCCCCTAGCGGGGGGCACGGCCGGGGGGGGCGGGGTGGGGGTGAGGTAATTGATCTGATTAACAGCGATACAACAATGTGGGCTATGGGTCTCTATGTAAGTCTATGGGTCTCTATGGGAGTCTATGGGTCTCTATGTAAGTCTATGGGTCTCTGTGTAAGTCTATAAGTCTCTATGCAAATCTGTGGGTCTCTGTCAGTATATGGGTCTCTATGTAAGTCTATGGGTATCTGTGTGAGTCTATGGGTCTCTGTATGAGTCTATGGGTCTCTATGTAAGTCTATGGGTCTCTGTGTAAGTCTATGGGTCTCTGTGTAAGTCTATGGGTCTCTGTGCAAGTCTATGGGTCTCTATGTAAGTCTATGGGTCTCTATGTAAGTCTATGGGTATCTATGTAAGTCTATGGGTCTCTATGTAAGTCTATGGGTCTCTGTGTAAGTCTATGGGTCTCTGTGTAAGTCTATGGGTCTCTGTGTAAGTCTATGGGTCTCTGTGTACGTCTATGGGTCTCTGTGTAAGTCTATGGGTCTCTATGTAAATCTGTGGGTCTCTATGTAAGTATATGGGTCTCTATGTAAGTATATGGGTCTCTATGTAAGTCTATGGGTCTCTATGGAATTATATGGGTCTCTATGTCAGTATATGGGTCTCTATGTAAGTCTATGATCTCTATGTAAGTCTATGGGTCTCTATGTAAGTCTATGGGTCTCTATGTAAGTCTATGGGTCTCTATGTGAGTCTATGGGTCTGTGTGTGGGTCTCTATGTGAGTCTATGGGTCTCTCTGTGTGTGGGTCTCCATGTGAGTCTATGGGTCTCTCTGTGTGTAGGTCTCCATGTGAGTCTATGGGTCTCTCTGTGTGTGGGTCTCCATGTGAGTCTATGGGTCTCTCTGTGTGTGGGTCTCTATGTGAGTCTATGGGTCTCTCTGTGTGTGGGTCTCCATGTGAGTCTATGGGTCTCTCTGTGTGTGGGTCTCCATGTGAGTCTACGGGTCTCTCTGTGTGTGGGTCTCTATGTGAGTCTACGGGTCTGTCTGTAAGTGTGTGGGTCTCTATGTATGTCTATGGGTCTCTACGTGAGTCTATGGGTCTCTAAGTGTGTGGGTCTCCATGTGAGTCTATGGGTCTCTCTGTAAGTGTGTGGGTCTCTATGTATGTCTATGGGTCTCTACGTGAGTCTATGGGTCTCTAAGTGTGTGGGTCTCCATGTGAGTCTATGGGTCTCTCTGTAAGTGTGTGGGTCTCTATGTATGTCTATGGGTCTCTACGTGAGTCTATGGGTCTCTAAGTGTGTGGGTCTCCACGTGAGTCTATGGGTCTCTCTGTAAGTGTGTGGGTCTCTATGTATGTCTATGGGTCTCTACGTGAGTCTATGGGTCTCTAAGTGTGTGGGTCTCCGTGTGGGTCCCATCGGAGCCGAGTGCGGGTTGGTTGGTTGGCGGCGAGACGCAGGCGGCGCCGCTCTTTGGCTGCCCCCTTGCGGGCAGCCGTGTGTTTACAAACACGAAGATGATCATTGATGAAGTATAGCGGGGAATGGGGTGTCACTGTGGAATGTGTTGGTGATGACAACATGGACAACAGTCACACTGTGTGGTGGTTGTTGTTGTTAAATAATAACTAAGGGGGGACACAAACTAAATAGACGCAGTTTATTCCATCTCCTCTGTTGTGTATCGAAGTCAGAATGTGTGCTGTCGTGTTCTGCTGTGTCTGTGTACAAGTCGCTCTCTCTCTGTCTCTCTGTCCCCCCTCCTCCCTGTGCCCAATCGCCATTCCCTTCCGTCTCGCTCGTTGGAACAAGCTCTGCCCCTCACCCCCAACCATCAATCAGCCTCACTCACTCGCTTCCCTTCGCACCTCCACGCACGCGCACCGATTGTCATCATCTCTCACTTCGCCACACCCCTCTTTCCCCAACCTTCCCCCATCACTGAACACCACCACCATCACCACCATCCCCTCTTCACAACTTCAACCATCACCACCAACAATAACAACCGCCATTCGCCACTAAGTGGCGGTGACGTCACCACGACGCTTGTGCCAGGCCATGTGCACCTTGAGGCCACGTGAAGTGTCGAACGCCCGCTGGCAGGAGGTCACGGGGCAGACCCAGGTGCCACGGGTCGACTGACTGAGATGACCGAGATGACTGGCTGATGCACCACCTGTGCCCCCTACTGTGCCAACTTGCTTTGCTTTAGCCACCTGGCGCTCCGCTCGTTGTTGTGAGCGTCGCTCCTCCGCCCTCCGTTGTTGCTGGAGGGCGACTGCCTCCAACTGCCCAGTAGCGTCCTTCACGTGCCTCCTCCACAGAGGCCGATCTTGACACCGCTGGTACCAGTCATCGGCAAGTCCACTCAGCTCCACGTCCTCCTGTACCACATCACTCCATCTCTTTTCTAGCCCGTGCCGCGCCCGTTTAGCCCCCTCGATCCGGCCGAACAAAAGCTGTTTAGGCATGCGGTGGCTGGGCATGTGGGCTACATGACCCAGCCAACGCAGCCTTGCCTGCCGGAGGAGCTCACCGATGGGACTTTGCCCAGATCTTTTAAGGATTTGTGAGCTCCTCACATCATCACCACTACCATCCCCTCTTCACAACTTCAACCATCACCATCATCACCACCACCATCACCACCACCATCACCACCACCACTACCACCATCACAACCATCCCCTCGTCACAACGTCCCTGCCCCGTGCGTCATCACACCCACTCATCATCAACGCCTCGTCGACACTCTCATCATCATCTTCTTCTCTTTCACGCATCATCATCACACTCATCAACTCGTCTCATCGCACTGTTCTGCGATGTAAATAGTTCATTGTTTGTTCGCCGCCTTCGGCAAGGCGCAATATCCATCACAATAAGATCAGCTCACGATGCCTTGGGTGACCATGGAGGTGCAAGATGATGATCCAGATGATGGTGATGATGACGTAGATGACAATGATGACGGCGCCGGAGGATGATGATGACGATGACGTAGATGATGAGTATGGTGATGACGCCGATGATGACGCTGATGATGATGATGATGGAGTAGATGATGATGGTGGTGGTGGTGAATGTGGGCCGGCCACACCGATTCGATTTGTGGAGGCGATCAGGATCGACTTCCTTGGCGGTGGGAATGTAACGGGTATGTAACGGGAATGTAACGGAAATATAACGTGGCAATTATATAATGAAGGGCCATTGCCCGAAACGTCGCCTATGATACAAAGATTGTGTACTTTTAAGCATACTCACGCACTCACACACACTCACTCACACACACTCACTCTCACACACACTCACAGACACACTCACACACACTCACTCACACACACTCACTCTCGCACACACTCACTCTCACACACACTCACTCTCACTCACAGACACTCACTGTCACACACATTCACTGTCACACACTCACTCTCACACTCTCACACACACGCACTCTCACACACACTCACTCTCACACACTCTCACACACACTCACACAGCCTCATACACTCACACAGGCTCACACACACACGCACTCACACACACACTCACACACAGGCTCACACACACACATACGCTCACACACACGCTCACACACGCACTCACACACACTCACACACACACGCAGGGGCACAGCGGAGGTTGCCAGCGAGAGCCGCACAATAACAACGTGCGGCTTCTGAGTTGCTGAGAAAAGCAGGAAGCCCCATGGGTGGTGGCGCACGGATGCAGGGTGGGTGGTGGTGGTGTTGTGGGTGTGGTGGTGTGTGTGGTGGTGTGCACGTGGTGGTCATGGTGTGGATGGTGTGTGTTGGGTAATCGTGGGGTGGTGGTGTTGTGGGTGTGGTGGTGTGTGTGGTGGTGTGCACGTGGTGGTCATGGTGTGGATGGTGTGTGTTGGGTAATCGTGGGGTGGTGGTGGTGTTGTGGGTGTGGTGGTGGTGTGTGGTGGTTGTGCACGTGGTGGTCATGGTGTGGATGGTGTGTGTTGGGTAATCGTGGGGTGGTGGTGGTGTTGTGGGTGTGGTGGTGTGTGTGGTGGTGTGCACGTGGTGGTCATGGTGTGGATGGTGTGTGTTGGGTAATCGTGGGGGTGGTGTGGTGTTGTGGGTGTGGTGGTGTGTGTGGTGGTGTGCACGTGGTGGTCATGGTGTGGATGGTGTGTGTTGGGTAATCGTGGGGTGGTGGTGGTGTTGTGGGTGTGGTGGTGTGTGTGGTGGTGTGCAACGTGGTGGTCATGGTGTTGGATGGTGTGTGTTGGGTAATCGTGGGGTGGTGGTGTTGTGGTGGTGGTGGTGGCAGTGTGTCGTGGTGGGTGAGTGAGAGCGGTGGGTGTAGTGGTTAG